CCCCGATAACTACACCCGATAACGATACGATGCATGCCCAAGGCCGCCGGAGGGGAGAGGCAATATTGTTATCGGGGCGAAAAAGCGATCTGCTAAAACTCTCTATATTGCCGGCGCGGGTGCGAGCTCCCCGAGAAACAGCGGGCTCGATACGAGTCGCAGGTGTACAAACTCTGGGCCGGCACAGCGAGGCCACGTCTGGCCTCCTTCCTGGGTTTCGGATCACCAGAGTAGCGGGTCACATTCACGTCGGCTGATCACGTACGCATGAGCCGTACAATATTATGGGTGCAGCCGCAGACGCATTCAAATATGTGTTGAACTTCACTGCGTGAGTCATGCTACTATTTCGAGTCAACCACCACCAGTCTCGTGCTGCAACGGACTGTGACTCAGCTTTGCCGGCTGGCGTGCTATGTACGCTAAGGCAAGATAGACGGTTAGCAGTGGGTATGGGATGCCAGCAAACAATGACTCCAGAAATCCCTACCTAAGGACCTGGGGCAGAAGATGCTCTGACTCCACTCCTGGCATGCCACCTAGTTTAAGTCCCCAACTACGCAACACTTCACAGAAAAGAGAAGAGGACGCATAGAAAAATAGTTTGGAGAATCAGAAGGAACCTTGGTCAGCATAGCAACAATGCCCCAGCATCTTTTTAACCCTGATGCCCTCAGAAGTAAAAAAAAAAAGAAATGCGTTTGGGTACTTGTTTTTTTTTTTTTTTTGGGAGTGGGGGGGGGGGGATGTATTCCTCAAGAAATGTAACGAAATACATTTCATCCTGATTGTATCGCGATACAAAAATCCATTTCAAATGCATTTCGATACAGGAATACAGATACTGGTGAAAAAAATGTATCGCGATACAGAAATACAGATACGAAATGTATTTCTGAAATACTATCGCGATACATTTGTATCGCGATACTGCCCAACCCTGGTTCAGGGGAACCTGCTCTAGCAAGTATAGTTTCGGCTTCGCTATCAAGTAAAGTGGAACATACGGGCTCACGGAAGCTATGAAAGAGAGCAATAAAATAATAAAGATGAAAATAATGCTTAATGGGAAGCTGATGCCGCGAGCAGCATATTTTTTTTATTTAATTTTTTTATAAGTTTTGTTATCGCGCGTTTACAGATGCTGACAGGCGCTTGCAATCGAACGTTGCACGTGCAAAATCGAACGTTTCAGCGCCGCCTGGATGGTGCTGCCAGCATAACATGGTCGCGTCTTGCGGAGGCGCTCGCGCCCCCTGCCCGAGAGCAACGGGTCTATGGGCCAGGTTCTTTATTTTTTTTTTTTTTTTTTTACGTTTAGCTATACCGAGCCAGTCAGGGGGTCGGTTTTTCAGAAATAAAATGAGCGGGAAACTGTGAATCCGCATAGGGCCCTAGCAGACTTATAAGCAAAAAATTGCAATACAAAAAATTTACTTTTTCACAACACTACCTTATTCTTCAAGGGCTCTTTTCGTGATTTAGCACAAACTGGAAACACTACTAATAGGTAGGGTGTTCACTCAGCTAGGTTATGCGTGCCATTGCGTGTCAAAGGGGCTTTGAGCAAACTAATTGAAGAACACTTTGTCCAAGCTCAAGAGAAAAAAGTGAAAGCCGTTACAACTCCCTGTAACACCGAATTAGAGCGCAGCTCTTGAGGAGGAGGAGGGAAGGGTACTGGGGGGTGAAGTGACCTGGGGGGGGGTCACGTGACCTTGGGGAGTCACGTGACCATGCCGATGATGTCAACAGTGACGTCACTGATGACGTCATCAGCGATGATGACGATGACGATGCGGATGTCGGTGACGTCATCAGTGACGTCACTGATGACGTCATCTGTGATGACGATGACGATGCGGATGCCCCCCGAAGTCACGTGACACCCCCAGGGTCACGTGACCCCCGCCGAGGTCACGTGACCTCCCCGATGACGTCATCGATGACGTCACCGGCATCCACATCGTCATCGTCACTGATGACGTCATCAGTGACGCCACTGATGACCTCACCGGCATCCACATCGTCATCGTCATCATCACTGATGACGTCATCAGTGACGTCACCGGCATCCGCATCGTCATCGTCATCATCACTGATCACGTCACTGATGACGTCATCAGTGATGATGACGATGACGATGTGGATGCCGGTGACGTCATCGATGACGTCATCGGGGAGGTCACGTGACCTCGGCGGGGGTCACGTGACCTGGGGGGGTCACGTGACCTCGGGGGGTCACGTGACTTCAGGGGGTCACGTGACTTTGGGTGTCACGTGACCTTGGGGTGACCTTGGGGGTCACGTGACCTTGGGATGACCTTGGGGGTCACGTGACCTTGGGATGACCTTGGGGGCCACGTGACCTTGGGATGACCTTGGTTACGCCGACGGCGACGGCGACGGCGACGGCGACGCCGCTCAAGCCGGGAACGGGCCCCTAAGAGCTGCGCTCTAAAAACAAGCGCCAAAGCAAAGAACAAAGGGGGGAGGGGGAAGGGGGGCCGGCGATGGCACCTTTCACCAGCGAAGTTCAGCACATATCCGAATGCGTCTGCGCCTGTAATATTGCACGGCTCAAGGGTACGTCATCAGCCCACGTGAACGTGAACCGCTGCACTGGTGATCCCATAACCAGGAAGGAGGCCAGACGTGGCCTCGCTGTGCGGATCCAGACTTCGTACACCTGTGACTCGTCTCGAGCGCACTGTTTCTCGGAGAGCTCGCACCTGTGCCGGCCATTTCAGGTCGCAATCCACGAGGTCTCTGTTTGAATGATGCTAGGCGAAACTTGAAGACTGCCATTCATTCGTTGGAGGCGGAGGGTCGGCAGGAAGGATCGTCACAACAGGGATGCCACCGTATTGATTTTTCAACCGTAACAGAAGATAAGACATGTGCTTCAGGATGCTTCAGGTGGCCCACTTTTCTAGAAAATTTCAAATACAACTGCCTGTACGGTCTTCAACGAGGTCACCTACAACGAAAGTATGTATTGTCCAGTGGCGTACCAACGTGTTTTTGAGGGGGGGGGGGGGGGGGACCAGACCCCCCCCCCCCCCCCCTCCCCAAAGGCCGGGGGATGATGCCCTTGGTATCTCATGGGCGCCGCCGGCCAGTGTTTGCCCAGTGGCGGCTGTTTCGGGGGGGGGGGGGGGGGGGGGGCAAAACACATGCCTTGCCCCTCGACTCTGAGAACTGAGGTGGGGGGGGGGGGGGGGCAAGCGCCTTGCCTCCCCCCCCCCCCCCCCCGGTTCGTACGCCCATGGTATTGTCCTTTCATACAACAGCGTGGGTAAAGTTTCATGTTTAAGGCAACACCTACATATTCAAGAATACTAGTTTATCCCACCGTGACGTCATGTGATCAGTGCTGACAGGGGCGCCCTTATTGGACAGGGAAATGGTGATGTTTTGAAGGAATTTATTTACAGGTCGAAGTCTTTTCGCATCACTGGTCAGACAGACAGGATGCCAGTGAAGGGACCGCGGTCAATCCTTGATGGAACGTTTTTTAAACCCAATTACGATACTTCGTCCGGAACCACTACCTTCAAGACAAAGTGCCAAGCCTGCAAAAAAGTAATTTCGGCACCAAAAAAAAAAAAAAAAAAAAAAACAAGAACAAAAAAAAAAAAAATTCCACCTCAAACTTAAAGCCTCATCTCAGTTGGCATCTCAAAGAAATTTGAAAAATGTGTTGCATTATCAGATTTAAATTTTGCCCTCCCTAAAATGTATTCTTGTATTTGTATTTCCAAAGATTTTTTGCCTCTTTTTAAAATGTAGTTTCGATATGTATCGCGATACATTTTTAGAGATATATTTGAGATCTGAGTATCAGTATCTTAGCAACTATTTTTATCTATGCCAGTATTTGTATTTCCAAATACATTTTTGAATATTTCTGCCCAACCCTGCAACGCAATGCACCTGTCAAGTGCCAACTTTTACGTTTAGGAATTATAGGAATGGAATGGAACGATTCAGCCACTCCAGGAGTGGGAATGGGCCCAGTGTCCCCATTCCTAGGAGTTAAAAGGAATTGAATTATCGAAAATTCTAATTCCCGGAATGGAATTGGAATGGAATGGGGGTGCCCATTCCGCAACACTGGTGAGTATGTTGTCGGCAATACGGAAAAAGAAAAGGAATGCGTTACTCGACTCGGCGCTGATCCTGCAGCTGCTAAAATCTCCACTTTGGACGTTTTGTTTTAATAAAGATCTATTCTCTCTCTCTCTAGATTTTACGTTCTCTTTATTTTTCTTGTTTTTTTTTTATTTTTTTGCGGGTGTCAGATTCTTTTAACCTGCGATTGACGCTTCGCAACTGTCTGTCTGTTGACACTAATGAAAATTTTACATGCCGACACTGTAAATCAGTGCTTCCGCTTAGCACCACTCTAATCAGAACTAATCAGAACAAGTATATGCAGTGAGTACATTCAAAGGATTCAAAGCTACCGCTGCGGTTGCGCGCACGCGCGTACGTGGCTGGTCCAAACTACTAGCGACATCTAGTATATAGTTCAGTAATCTAGACTAAATCTGGCAACTCGGCTTTCGACTGTCGCAGAACTTGCTTTTAGACAAAATTTTGGACATTTAAGACAAAAGAAAAAAAAACATTTTATGGTATTTAAAATGGTTGAAGTAGTTATTTGCAACACTTCACACAAAACGTGTGTATTTTATCTAAACCGTCTAAATAATTTTAAAGGGTGTCATTGGATGGCCGCCAGTTTTGACTCAAAAATGCCACAAAAAGTTGCTCCATTTGTTATCCAGTGTTTGCAGTGCTATTGTTACAGTTTATTTTACGCACATAAACGATACAATTATATAACTACTGTTTGAGGTTTGACGTAAAACGTAAATAAATTGTTTATGAAATACTTCAAGAGCGTTTGCAAAATCGAGGACTTCGTGATATCACCAGCTTCAACGGCGTATCTTGTATCCTCGAAACGAAGTTCGCAACATTGAATTAGTCCTCTTGGTCCTTTTCCTGCGTCCTGCCTGCGGATCGCTGGGCCGCTGGGCTCCAAGAGTGTATTTACGCTCCTGTGTTCCGTTGTTGACGTCAAAGTCATCAAAATCTACGCACCGATTTTCGCTCTTCTAGATGCGGTCATTTCATTTCGACATCGGAGAAGCATTGTAAGTACACCAAAAAACAATCTGTTAGCTTAATTTTTTCCGAGAACAAAAATTAACGATGTGATGTGCGTCTCAGCGACGGACGTCTTGCTTGTGCTATAAAACGATTTACTTTAAATTGTCCAAAAAGCAATCGTACCACTGCAACGTCACTCTGCAATACCTGGAAATAGAAGTTAACAGAACTGTGCTCGAGGAACAATGTTACACCGGTTTTACGTGCACACGTACTGAGTTGGAAGCGGCAAATGACATGCGCTTCAGTTGAAAGCTCCGCCGAGAACACAGACGTCTCTCGAATTGTGCAGGTCGAAGGCAAGTAGTTCAAAATTACTACATGCTATTCTTCCAAAGTTGTCAAAGTTCCTTGCAGAAATACACGCAAGGCAGTTACGGTTAGTTGTGTAAAGGAAAAGGAACTCGAGATGGATATTTCTGGATGATTATAGCACGTTGCTTTCGCTAGCAGTTGCCCCGTCCCAAGTGCCACAGGCCGTTTCTTCCCGAGTAGGGAAAACCTCGTCGTCGAAATCCCCGTCTTACGTCCCCCAGTATCAAAATCCCTATGCCCTGCGCCCTGCACAGATAACAGTTTGATCGTCCGCATCCGAACCGCATACGACCCTCAATTCGCGGACGTCCGTGCCACCGTGACCAGAAGATGCGCCCCCCCCCCCCCTTTTTCCTCCTCCTCCTCCTCCTCTTCAAAATAAATAAATATATATATATATATATATATATATATATATATATTAGATATATATAATTTTTTTTTCTGCTTTGTAAAACTTATTTTAAGCAGACGCATATTTTCTAAACATAAAGATTAACAAAAGACAGAGTAATAAGATTTTGGCCTTTTATTTAGGCCAAACAATAAAAAGGAGGGATAAGAAAGACGGTCACTCACCACAGCAAAAGTACTTGTGTAGATGTAATAAGGCGCGAGCACATTACAGGGAAAATATCACAATATTCAATAATTGCAACACGTCCTATCGGTTTCAGTTTTAAATGCGAACCCTCAACTGCATGCTCGAAACTATATATTTAAAAACAACTAGTCAACTGTCGAGAAAAAAAAAAAAAAAGAATGTACACGCTCTCAATGTTTTACTTGCCGAGGTTGCTGTGTAGAAGAAACAGAATATCGTCAACATGGACAAATTTAGACTGGTTCGCCTCTCTTAAATTAATACCCGCCAATCGGAAGCCTCGCTCCGCTTGTGTAGTGCTTGGTGCTGCGATGGCATGAACGAACTGCGCTACAAGAGTGAGTTACGGAAACTCGTGCCAGCGCAAGTTCCACCAATCCGAAGGATTGAATTCACTCGTCAATCTAGCTTCTTCTACTTTTTTGTGGCTTGCACGTTTTGTATTTTCTTTGCCCTACAGTTACAAAGAGACCTACAGTTACAACAAAATCACAGGTTACTAGACATTGAAGGCACTTTTGTATCCCGAACATTGGTCACTTAAACGACACACAAAAATTGTACTTTATTCCTTCTCCCTTTGTCCCTACCTTCAAACTGAACAACGAATTCAACCTTCACAAAGAACTACTTGTAGTTTTCAAGACTGACCTTCCAAAAGCATAACCTCTTCTTCACTTTTACGTCTTGCGGCAAGCAATATTGAGAAGCAACCGCTGTTAAGTTCGGACAAGGGACTTCGTTAGATTGAAACGTGGGAGGTTGCTGTAAAACGCTCGTGCAATGTGGGGTAACAGTAGGTGCGCCTTGTTTGAATCGTTCACCACAAACATGAATCTGGTTAAAAGCTGAGATTTTTAAACTTAAATATATCAACAAATGAAACCTTGATTCCGCTTGTTTTCTTCTCCTGGTGCCCTTCCATCACGACATATAAATTCGTATGTTCCCATTTGATGGGATAGATAAAAAAAAAAAAACTTTGCTTGATCTAACCAAATATGGTAATTTGAAAAATACAAATGTAACGTATATGTAACGAAACGTTCCATTTTTTAAACTGTAACGGGAACGAGTTCCTTTATCACAGATGGAACTTGTAACGAGAACGGGTTCCAAAATTCACAAGGAACGAGGAACGAGCTTTCGTTCCTTTTTTTGAGGAACGTGTACAACACTGCTGTGACGACGCTAGCTGTCGGCGCGCTCGTTTCTGTTTAATTTTTTTTGTGTGTTTTTCGCAGGAAGTGTAGATTTTTTATGTGCCTTTATTTAGGTAAGGCCTGTAGCTACAGGCGAAACTTCAAGCAACAGTTTAAGCATGGTTGACAGGGCAGGCAACGCATGAATCACAGCTGGTATATGAAAATAAAGTATGGCCACAATTGCAGGAGCATCACTATAGATTTACATCTCGCTCAATAAATGCTGCTGATGGTCTGAATGAAGTGGCAGGTTATATATACTATTTTGTTTGTATCTTTGTTTTTAAACAAGATCGCCGAAGCAGAAAAGCTGCATGCTGCTCGAGCAACATGCTAAATACAGTCTCAGCCATGGGGAGAGAATCACAAGTAAGACAGCCCAAGCTGGGCCATGGGGAGAGAATCACAAGTAAGACAGCCCAAGTGCAGGGGCAAAGTAAGAAAAAAAGGAACACTTATTATATACATTGCTCGCATTTGACCTCTGCTGGATTCGGATAATATTTCAATGGACTACACGGGTGGTATGTATGGAGTTGTTTATATCAACCCTCAACTAATGTATAACAAACATAAGCGAAAGTGTCTAGTTCGTTATTAGTCCCTTGGGCTCTAAAATAGATATTTTACTTAAATCGAATTGTCCTGATGCTCAAATACCAGAAGCTTTTTTCACCTTCACAGATTCCACATTTTCTGCTACTAGTGCTGCATCTACCACTGGACAAACTTTTGAATGCTTGCTTTTACTCCCGTTTTCCTCTGTTGTCAGTGAGCCCAGCTGTAGGGAGTTTGGAAGCCGAGGAAGCTTTTGATGACCTACAGAAGTGTCTCTTTTTATTGTAAATGACGATTCAGACTAAACGGTGTATTTTCCGCATACCCAAAACTGGAATAAAGAATGTCAGGAAAAGAGTATAAACATTCCAAATTACGGCACTATTGCTGTGCATATTTTGGGTAGTTCAATACATATCATACAGGCAACGGGGTGCGATTCGGCCGTTTTTGCTGCTACCATACAAAAAATTTCCAGTAATTGGGCATCTTCTAAGAAATATGCCTGCACACGTATATAAACTATATAACTAATTCATAAAGAAACTACATTTATATAAAACAACCCTGTTCCACGAGCACTTCAAAGATAATCAGACACGGGGTCTTTAAAACATCTGCGAACCAGCGCATGCAGAGTGGCAGCGCAAAGTCGGGGTCGCAAGCTGATTTGCCGACCACCCAAAGGCCCATGATATAAATGTCACTCCAAATGCCTTGAAAGCGGGATGAAATATCGTCCTAAATCATGAACATGCAAGGAACAGAATTCCAGCGTCTGAAACACTTGCGCCTTCGCTTCACCGCCCCCTCGCAAGATTGCCTGTGTCGTGTGGACGGACGGGAAGGTTCATCGGCGGAATTGCCTCCGCCGATTGCTTTCGGGATTTGCAAGCCAATTTTAAAAGTAAAAGGGACAAGCGAACTTATAAAATGAACGGAAGCACATCAATATCGGCCTAACTCAACGTCTTGTACACCGGGTAAATGAAGTCCAACTCCTCAAAGAGCTTGCGGCACACAACGCCAAACCAGGAAACCGGCGCTGGGAAGCGAGCCGATGCGAGATCGCGGAGCGGAGTCCTCCCCCTGACGTCACGGTACACCTCACCCAATCAAGGCGCGGCGACCGCAGCGGCGCTTGTGTTCGCTCTCGGGGCTAATAGACCATATGCAAATGCACAGTGCCATCTAGCGGGGCGTTGAAGAACGTGCCCTCTGTCTCACCACTTCTTCCAAGATTTTATGTGCGCTCTGCTCCGGCCTGTCTACATGCTTGGCTGCCCAGCAGAAAAGCGAGCCGAGCCAGTTCTCTAGATCTCCACAAGCGGCGCTTATAACCAAACCAGAAACGGAAATAGAATCGCCTCAGAGCTCGCTGTCAAGTGTGAGCCTGCGGCATGAAGCTTGCATTTAAATTTTTCTCTTCATCAGAATAAAGACAGATAAGTCGATTTCTGTTCATTCATAATTTTTATTCGCTGCAACGGTCTTTGCACTGTTTCGCTGGATGGTACCTCAGAATGCAAGATTTAGTGTGAATCTATATTTGTCCTCTGTGGATACCGTCTGGGCCGGCGGGACAAGCATAGAAATATTTTTGTCATCATGCATGAACAGCTTTCTGAACTTCACTTGCATACATGGACATTTGTTCCACACCTTTCACACTTTGAAAAGGTGAACCTTCAAAATTCAATGAACTTCTTCCTTGCCAAAGATCTGTGTGTTGCGGCGAGAGGCGGGGAGCACATTTCGCACTGCTCTTAAGTTCCGTAGACCGACGATAATGGTGATGGACAGTTTGTGGCCATTTCTTTGTATTGTTTGGTTTGGTTGCAAGCGCCATCAAGCACCCCACAGTAACAGTCTCTACTGGCAATTGTAACGGCCAGACGAGTGCAGCCAGCGCTGAAAAAAATGTCGGAGGCCATGGTCTCACCAGTTGGCTTTGGTGCTGGCAAAAGCCAGGGTGCGAAAGCGTAGTTCTGAAGAATCCTTCACTCGCACAAGCACTCGCGCAGATAAAGCGCTTCCGATAAACCCTGTGCCTGTGCCCGTGCCTTTGCCGGCACTGAAAGCCAAATTTCGAGCTGAAGTGTACATACATCTGCCATGTTGTTTGCTGCGAGAAACCAGCGACCGGCAGGGCGACGAGCACCTACATGCGCAGGAAGAGCAGAAAATAATAATAATCCTTAGCTCGCCGGTGTGGGTGAGGATCGATGACGGTGAGCAGTAGGCTTCATTTGTTACTGCAGCACTGCGAAATTGGCAGAGAGGAGAGGAATCTTGGCACAACAAAAATGGCATCGCACAGAGTGTTGCCAAACGTTCAAACAATTTCACATATGGCCTGACATCATTTGCAGCCACGCCAGTATTTTATGCGCCACGAGCTTTCGGTTCGCTGTGTTAGTTTCGTGCCATGAAAAGTTGTAGTTCAAAGAAACCAGTAAGTAGAAGTAACCGCCAATACCCAGCAATGGCAACGCTTCTAAGCTATGTATACTGCCGTCCCGTTTAGGGACCAGCAACACGGGTTGCTCGCGTTCTCACGCAGCAACCGAATCGCTACGTTTTGCCATCATCTTCTTCGAATTTTAATTTTCTTGCACTAGTTAGACACACAGTTTGGCGCTATAAACATGTTATATCTTTAAATTGCGTTGTGATTACTAACTCATCTTCCTGAAACGGTTTATTCCCGAAAAGGTTTAATTTCGAACTAGAACCAAGTCTTTAGTTGTCATCTCATCACAGCCACAGGGGTGTCACGTGAAAATATTGCTTCCCCGATTGGCTGCTGCCGCTTCAAACATCTCCGAGTTGTCCGAGTTGCTCGTTCGTTTCGAGGCCAGACGCGATCCTAGCAATTTGTGCCGCACTAGGGAAAGCTAGGGAACAACTTGCCAGCTACACCTAAATTGCTGGGAAAGTTGCCCCGTCTGAAGTGGGCATAATCAAGGCATACTATTTCCTGGTGATTTTGAGTCAATTGAGTTAGATGCTTTCTAGCATTGGAAAGTTTTCTAATGTTTATTTACACGTAACTTTACACTGTTCGCAAAGTAATCTACACTACTTAGATTCCACAGAAGCGCAGTGTCAATTTCAAAAACTCTCAAGGTCCAAATCGCAGTTGGTACTCTGCTCCTGACCTTGGCCCGCTTGATCAACACCACGATTGTGTAAATACTGGGATGAGCTTTCCTGAGAACATTTTTAATGGTTATGATTCAAGTATGAATCACAACCATGAATGAAAAAAGAACAAATGACTTTTACAATTGCAAATTTTTCTCATTTGAAATGTAGTCACCGGTACCAGGCCCCCCCAAGTTGTTTGTTTGTACTTGGTTGTTCTGGCAATACATTTTTAACAACTTCTTCTCCTTGACATTTACCAGCTAAATGACTTCTTTTGGCAGGCAGAAGTCGTGTGTCAGACACCGTGATCCCAAAATCCAAACAATGAATAGAGAGAGATGCAAGTGTTGGCCTGACTGCAGATGGTCGTGCTATAGTGAGGCTTGAGGGTAAAAGCCTCGAAAATCGGTAAGGGAGTTGGCGTATGTGGTTTTTGAGAGCTAGGGGAATTTTGGAGTTGGGGAGGGTTTTGAGATGGAGTTGTTCTGTGCACCACCTCTCTGTAACTCTCTGGATGCACCTCCAGATACATATGGGGACAGGTACTAGTGCAATTTTTCACCAGTCATTGTGCGCCCAGCATACAGAAACCTATCGAACCTTTGTCCGACCAAAACTTGAGTAAAGAGCGCACTGCAAGCGTCACTGCTATGAAGTCACAATTAGGCCTCTGTTCATCAGCTATGTGCCGAAAATGTTCACGTCTGCCTCTTTCCTAAAATTCATCACCATCATCCTGACATTAGGATAATGCTCTTGCGTCCCCCACTTCAATTTTCTCGTACATTAACAAACTCCAACTCTGTACAGTGCATCTCTAGATCTACAAACACACTTAACTCCTTCCTTCCACTTTCAATTTCCAAATGGAATATACTACCTGGAGAGCATAAGCTCAACCGTATGCCCGGATGCATTCCACTCTTGTTTAATTTTATATTTAGAAGAGTGCTAATTGTTTGGTTATTTGTGTATTGTGTGTGTCTCTTTGCTGATTTTAATACATTTGTTTTTCTTCTCGTTTTCGTTTTGCTGATAGTAGTTTTTTTTTTTTTTTATTATGTAAAAGTGCTTTATTTCTCCCCCCCCCCCCCCCCCCCCCCCCCTTCCCCCCAAGGACCTTCAAGATAAAGTGACCAGACGTCCCGATTTAGGCAGCTCTTTTCCGGCCGTGGCCCCACTGTCGTGCTGTCCCACCAATGTGCTTACGGGACGGTGTTTTGTCCCGCTGCGGCTCCCCGGAACCGTGAATAGATAAAAACACGGTTAAACGAAAGGATCGCACCAGTGAGAGGGTGCTTTCTCTGATCAGTGAACAAGATATGCTTAACAGAGAAGATGCTGATGTTGAAGGTTCATTTGCACACATGGACAAAAAATACAAAAATAAATACAGTGATACTAAGGAAATATTCCAACCAAATGTATTAGATGTGCATGCCAAACAGTGTGCAAATTGCAAGGAAAAGAAATGTGCATGGTGCATATGAAATAATAAAAAGGTTTCATTTGTTACTGGAATTTAAAGTTCTCAAGTCTGACAATACAATAACCTCCACCCCCACCGATACGCACACTGCTTTGGGGCCCGAGGAATATGGTCACTTTAAGGGTATGTTAGATCAATAAAAAATAAAACCTGACTAAGCGGAACCTTCAAGGAGCATTTCTTTTAATGATTTTATTGGTTTATAACAGATTTGCAACTTTTGAGAACATCACATCAGAAGCTTGCAGTTCTAAAGACTGCCAGTACAACCCAAGAAGCACCTCTCATTGATCACCTTCCAAGTTCAGGGTGACAGTGCCATAAAAGGCTCAGCTTTGCCGAATATGTTATTCCAAATAAATTATCCTACACACAGTGCAAGCCTGCAACACCGACGTAGAGCCTTTGAAACTGCGTGCCATCATTTTGAAACTTGATTTCAGAAATTCCAGTATTTAAAAATGCCAGCATTTAGCCATTTAGAGTTAAGAAAATGACCGTTTGTGCCTTCTCACCGTTTCATAAAGGGACACTGACAGAATATTTATGCTTGCCACGGTTTTTATTTGTGCATGGCATATGAGAGGCCAACTACCCAGAACACAATTTTCAACTCAAAATTAGTTTTTTTTGCCTCCCGAAAATCGACGTTCAAGAACTGGCCGGTTTGAGTCGTGCTGTCTCTTCTCTGTGGTCACGTGCCGCTTTCTATGGTTTAGACACAGCCACCAAATATAATCAACGTCGTGGGCCATTGAAGGCACAAGCTCAAAATTAAAATTAAAAATGAAATACGATACAAATTTTTTGTGGCTTCTAAAAAGCAGCAAATATGTTGATTGAAGAAAAAAAAGTTGCACAGCCACGTGACTTCTGCCAACTCTCTCTCCTCTATATTTCTTCCTCCCCTGTCCAGTTTCGGTTTCAATTTCGAGCAGTTGCTTTTTTTGTCTTTTTTATTAAAAATATATGTGACACTGTAATGACTAGCCTGGCAATATATTTGACAGCATAATGATTCGCCTGGCAGAAAATAAAACAAAAATCTTGGAGGGTGTCGGTGTCCCTTTAAATCCTTCACAAACAATAGTGCTTGTCCAGAGTGCTCCTTTTCACTGTCTTTTCCATTTGTTTGCATCATTTATTTTCTGTTTTGTTCATCCTCACCTTTCCTTTCCTCTGTCTTAAACTTTCCATTGTGAACATGTACATCAAACCCCGCCCTTTTCACTTCAAGGCACTGAAGTTGAAACTCGTCTCTTGCCCATGTCTAGAGACCGTTTATTCCATCTACTTTTGGCTGGGGACCGGGGCCTCGTTCTCTAAGCGGATTAGAGTCAAATGTCATCTGACTCCTTATGTTGTTCCCTACAGCAACTGGCTCAGGGAAGCTGAACACCGCCTTTATGGTCTCTTCTTTCGCAGATGACTCTGACATCCAGGGTTCAGGTCCTGGTGACTGGATGCAAGGCTCAGGGCCTGCGCAGCCTGCCTTCGTGTGGCCGGCGCCCGAGCTGTGGCCCACTCAGGGCCGAGGGCCTGCACGGGGCCAACAGACCGACTGTCCTGTTGCTGCGGCCTGCGTCCACCACCACGAACAAGGCCAACAGCGCTGTTGTTGATGCCAAGGACTCTGAGGGAGGTCATCTAACCATCGGACAGAAAGGTCAGTTTGTGCGGCAGGGTAGTCGGTGCACCGTTCCCCTTGTTCCCAATGTTGCATCAGCACAGCTTGGGGGGAAGCGTTTGTATTTGATGGTGGCAAAGACAATGCAGTGGGTTAAACTTCCGGGTTTTCACACATTTCGGATAGCAGTGATGGAAGTACTGCGCCATTTGCGCCAAAGTGCACCGTGAGTGAAAGTCTGCTACATCTTGCGCCAAGGTGCCATTTTGGCTAAGAATTGCACCGCACCTGTGCCAAAAGGGGAAAACAAAAAAAATTAAATATTGTTTTTTTGGTTGACCCTAATATTTAAAGAAGTAGGAAGAAAGAAAAACGGTAGAAATATGTGTTTCACAGCGTCTACTCACTGTATACGTTGCTTCATCTTAGGTCAGAGCAGAATCGAAGGCTCGAACACATACAACACGAACACACATAGTAAAAGCACAAGTGCACAAGTCACAGGATATTCGCTGCATTTGATTGGTTTAATCGATGAAAGAACAATTACAGGAAGATGGTCGAATGTCTCTATGTCGCGCTTTAACATTCTTTGGTTGATCCCATTGGCTCGTAGCATCGGCTGCGCTTTAAATTAAGGTGAAACGAAGTTTTAAAATTGCTCGTCCACCGCGCCGGCCGGTTGATGTGCTGGCGGCTTGATTGCCGCCATCCTCTAAACTTTCAGATGATTTCGGCGATGTCAGGAGCCAGAAGTCGCAAGAAAACATTGCAAAATAGTAGTATAGCAGCTACTGTGATAAGACAAAACCAGGCTCCTGGTGATATAACTTGATTATGTCTGCCGTATGCTCCCTGGCGCTCTCACCAGCCCATGCGCGTCGAGCTTCACTGCCTTGCACAGGAGTGCTAGGAGTAGCGGCTGACATGGGTGAGCGTCTGGTTTAGCACAATATATATGTAAATTATGCTTAGTACTATTGCAGGTCCACATTCTTTGGTCTCGATTATATGATCTCATTTTCAAATGCTGCGTCGAAAAAGAAAAGAAAAAAAAAGGAGGCGGTGTTTTATTTGAATAAATTTAAGTGGCAAGAGTAGGTTTTTATAATATTTTTGGGCGGTTGTTTTTTCCGGTTTATAATATTCAAGTCTTGAGTTGGGTAACAATAAAATTTGGTAGTTGCAGTTTACTGATAGACGTGTTAGCGATTATGTCGGTTTTTGGTGGCATTTTATAGAAATTATGTATACAGGCTAAATAAATTACTGAGTGTAAAAGTGGGAGGGGAGGGAGGCTTTACCCAAACTGAAGTGTAATTCATTTCTCGTCAATTTGTCTAGTACCCATTGTAAATGAAACATACTCTGACCACAGCCTTATTTCTAAAAAGAAAGCTCTGTGTACCTTTTGCACTCTATTTGTTCTTATTACTAGGGGTAACGAACAATATGCTCCAATATCAAAGAGAAACCCTCAGTCATCATCAAATATGAACTCATTTAGCGATGCAATAAATTTTGTTTTTTCAAGTGATATGGTATCAGATGTTGGCATCTGCTCCAACAGCGACAGTGGCTGCTCCAAACAAATATTTTGCCTGCTACAGAACCTGCTCCAAAACGTCAAATGCCGCTTCCTTCACTGAGATACCTATCGAGGAAGATGTGGCGATGAATTGGCTGGGTCGCACAAAGTGTACGTTGAGGTAAACTGGGATGACCCAGGCCCTCCATTTCTGGATGGACTAGGTGAACTTTTTGAGTGGCGGAAGAACAGCGAGATAGTAGCCTGGGGCAGCCGGGCTTTCTGCTTTATTGACACTTACTGAACCTTTGAGAACAAAGAACGAACTGAATGGCAGCAGTGCTTCCTGCTTTATTGACACTTACTGAAACTTTGGGAGCAAAGAACGAAGTGAACGGCAGCAGTGCTTCGGTTATTTAGTCGTACAAGGTGAAAATGGCAAGGGAAGTCCTTCACTTGTCCCGTCTCCAGCACGAGCTTCCTACCTTCAATGACACTTTGGCGTCTCGTGAACCTCGAGCGGCACATGCAGTATGGGAACGGCAGGGCACATGCCCTGCCGTTCCCATACTGTCAGCAACTCAAGGAGTCCAAGTGATAACACACGGTCACGCTCGTGCGCGGGAGACTGCAGGTACAGTTGCAAAGTAAAACATTTCCTTTCATTGTGTTTTATAAAATTAATGGGTTCTGTTAGTGGATATTCAATTAAACAAAAGGGTAGCAGGGCCGGTACAGGGGACGGAGGTTCGTTAAACGAGGATTGTACATCTTGGAAGGGTCACATGACTCAAATGTTTATGTACCTCCGTTCCGACTCACCTGCCCAGCCTCGTATGACTCCAAGCACGCGCGCCTTCTGCAACAGAAATAGTGGTTGCAGTAACTGCCTACCCCAAATAAATGCTTGCTTTTTTTTCCCCCTTTGTGTATGCATTAGTTATTCTTGTTTGTGCAAGGCAGTGCATGCTGATGCGCTGCACATAAAAAGACACTGCTGCATACAGATATGATCCCAGCAATGTCGCACGTTTGTTTAAAGGGGGGAGCTCCGGCATCAATTTGAACATTTTCAACTAAACATATTTTCTGAAGGAGCACACGAGACTGAGCCTAGTGTAGCAAATAAATTTTCCCAAAATATTTTAAATAATTTTTAACATAGAAATGCGATAGAACCGAAACCAAAATTAACCTGCAACTTTACTGATCCGCCATCTTGTTGTGACGTCAGATGTATAAATATCTGCACATGGACAGTCTGAGCCTGTTTTGCACAGCGTCAGAAACAGTCAGAAGGCCATCGCGATCGTCCGTGGGAAATAGCGAGCGACGATTCATCAAGCTTGTCTGAGTCAAGCAATGACCAGCAAATGTTTTAAGATTTTCAGCGCGAGATTTCAGACGATTTGCCGGTCACATTCGGTATGCTTGAATCGCCTCCGAGGGTATTATTTGTGGTGGCTGCATTCGTAATCCGCCTACATGTGGACCCAGGTGCCGCTTCAGAAGCAGAATGGTATGGAAGATTTTGTGTGCTTCTTGCACAGGAGTTGCAGTGATGTCAGAATGCCAAGCTCTTATTGGCTGATTGAAAACAAAATACTGGCTAGACCTCAAGGCATTAAGGTTTACCCACTATCCTTTCAATCAAAGCCAATTGGAGCTCGGCATCATTCTGACGTCACCGCAACTCTTGCACAAGAAGCAGATGACTTGCTCTCCGCATAGAGCCAGCGTTCGCGTTAGCCTGCTCAAACCCACTTCCATCGCAGAGACTTCCGGTCGAAATCCGATAAGGTGTCTCTCTGCAGCATTTCTTCTTGGTATTATTGCACCCCACAACACATCACCAATTCCCCCCACCCTCCATCGCATGCCGCAAATAGCCTAAACCAGACGCAATCCGCAAAACCATAAACGCTCACCGCACAACAGCATGAAGGAGGGAGCGTTGTCTGCTCTCAGATACAACATTTGACGTCACGAGCGCCCCTGCTCATTGTTGCTAGTAGAGCGGCAGCCAGTGATTTGGAGGTGTATGCATAAACTTCAAATAAACTTCAAAATTAATTTTCTCAAAAGATAATTAATATTTTAATTTCTTAGATATTTCGTAGGCATACTCGGGGGTAGATATTTAGTCCAGGGTAAAATTTTTATAAAACTCATTGACCATAAATATTTCTCTGGAGCTCCCCTTTAATGAGCTTTGGGGGTCAGTATGTGCCATAGTTAAAGGGACACCAACACCCTCCCAAAAATTTTGTTTCTATTTTTTTGCCAGTGATTTCTATGGTGTCAAAAGACTACCCAATCAATATTTTGCTGTAGCGTAACATAAATTTTTAATGAAGTAAAAAAAACAAAAAACAACTGCACGAAACTAAAATTGAAACTGTATTGGGGAGAAAGAAGAAATATAGAGGAGGAGAAAGTTACCAAAAATCACGTAACTGTGCAACCTTTTTTTTTTTTAATTATTGTATTTGCAGTTTTTCAGGAGCAACAAAAAGGATATCATATTTATCGTCTATTTTTAGTATTGAGTATGTGCGTTCAAGGACCCACGACTTTGATTATCTTTCGTGGATGTGTCGAAACCATAGAAAACGGCATGTGACCACGGAGAATAGAGGGACCGCGAATCAAACCGGCTAGTTCTCGATCGGCAATTTTCGGGCGGAAAGAAAACAAATTTTGAGTCTCAAATGTGTTCTGGGTAGTTGGGCTCTCAAATGTCATGTACAGGGTGTCCACGAAAAAAACTTCCAGGGGTTTTTTCACCGGAAAAATAAACTATGCATGGTCGAACGCTCATTTTCCGCCCAAACGTGGCACTAGAGGTCCGATCCAGATGCCAAAGTTTCAGCACGAACCAATATTTTATTCAAAAGTTATGAGTGATTTTTAGAAAATTTCAATGGCAAAATGGTGATTGACAGAGCTCTCTAATACATGGAGCTCCTTGCCGCCAGAAACCGAAGACGGGCAAAAATGGGCCCCATTTTCCCATTGAAATTTTCAGCAAGTTATTTATAACTTTTGAATACAATATCGGTTCATGCTGAAACTTTGGCGTCTGGTTCGGGACCTCTATCGCTACCTTTGGGCGGAGAATGAGCGTTCGTTCATGCATAGTTTATTTTTGCGGTGAAAAAAAAATTGTACATTTTTTGGGGGGGACACCCTGTACAAATAAAAACCTTGGCGAGCATAAATGCCCCGTCAGTGTCCCTTGAAGTGTGATTAAAACAGATTAATTCATTTAATACTTTGGCCTCACAAAAAAGTAAAAAAAAACTTTTTTTTTTTTTCTTTCAGTTAAGCAAACAACAAAGGATGCCAGCTACCTTGGAGTAATACTTGCGGGACTCGGAGTTACAGGTAAGATTTTGTTCCCCATATTCAGAATCCTGTGGCAGTCAGCTGTCAAAAATCTCTCTGATACCCTGAAAGCCGACCATTTGCCATAAAGGAGTTAATAACAGCTGTGACAATACATATTCAGGGCATGCATCACTAACTAAGGGAGTAGTTGTTGGCAGTATACTGGCTTCAACATGCACAGGTCTACAAAAGGAATGTACCGTAAAATGTTGCGGGAGCACCCACTTCGTTCAAGCGCCCACCATTAATTAACACCTGATTTGACCGAAGAAGCACCCATATCTATATTAAACCCAGTTTTCAGTGAAAGTCAGGTGGGTGCTCCCCCGGTTATCTACGATAAGTGCATCGCTCTTGGTACAATCCGCAAGAACGGTTACTCTTCATGTATCTGCAATACAGAAAGAGTATTTAGACCGTCTTTTGAACCGGAATTACTTGAAGGGAAACTGAAATACAGTTGAACCTCGATTTAGCGAAGTCACCGGGACCCCCTAATTATTTCGTCAAATCGGGAACTTCGTAAAGTCGAGAAAGACATTCTTCGGGATAGGCTGCGCGGGGAATCCGAATTCGTTCGTTAAATCGGGAAACTCGTAACATCGGGTTTCGTTAAATTGAGGTTCAACTGTAGTTCTATATGTAAAGAGCAACTCTGCTTTATTTTTGTTTTTGAGAAAAACAATGCAGTCCTCATCAGTATCACCTAGGAAGACTACACATAAAATATTACGGCTTAGTTCTGTCTAAATGTTTCTTAAACAGTCCGGCAAACTTTGCAACTCGCCAAGTTGTCGAAATTGGCTGACTCGAGCGGGCAAATTGAGGCGTAACCAACAGCGCAGTCAAGGCTACGGCGTGGGCATAGCCAATATAGAGCTAAACATCATCACCATTGCAACTTTTTCCTTGTTTTTACTTCTCTGGGCAAGCGTAACGGGTGACATCGGCAACATTTCCTCTCGACGCGCCTGCGCAGTGCGCTTCTTGGGAGCTTCCCCACCATGGTCCCGCCATTACCGCCGTCTTTTGCGTCACTACCGCCATCGTCCTCTCACCATTTGTGATTATTTTGTCTTGAGTTTCGTCCACACTACGGTTACCACATGCGCAGACTTATGCCGCAGTTGTTCAGACGTCGTCGAATGTCGTACACACCAAAACGTGGTGAAGATTGCAATGCAGACGACACTTGCACCTGGCACACACCCACCCCAGTCCCGCCCGTTGTTGCGTAGAGGATGACGTGACACCTTGTACCACGTGATAGCCATGTTCTCGGCGGCCCGAGGCCAATGTTGCCGGACGGAGCCGAAGTTTCGATTTCGATTTCTGCTTGTGTTTAAAATTAGATGTAAAAATATATATCCACCTTTTGCAACGCAAATGATGTAGTGTCTTTTACTAGGGCTTTTTAATGCGAAATCACTCATTATCCCAAAATCTTTGGAAATGAGCAAAGTTGCCCTTTAAGACAAGAAAAAAAAAAAGAAAGCTGGAATTGTCTTTATTTGCCTTCCAAGCTTCTTGAGTTTCGAAATTCTTTTTCGCTTTGATGCGGCATCATTACCAGACATCTCGACATCTCCGCCAGCCTTCCCCGAGCACTGGACAGTGTTAGCCTTTTTGCTCGTTTTGTTGACTCTCCTGTTTGTTAAAGTAGTTAGTTCATCTTTCTGTATTGAAGGTAAACATCTTCGACAGACGTCTGTCTGGTTGGGACTGCGACACGTGATTAGAAAAAGACTGGATGGCAAGGCGGAAGCGCGATTAGAAGATATTTGTACCACCAAAGAAGACGAGGCTGCTCCCTCGCACGAGATCGGTCGCCCCTGAAGAAGAAACCAAACTGGTTTTGAAACGTTGGGTCCGAGTTTAATTTTTTGTTGGAGTCAAATATTTTTCCATCTTCCTGTATGTTTTTGCCGTAGTTTTTTTTATTTGTTCACGATAGTTCTAAGGCATAACCCGACTTTCATGGTGTTGGCTTCACAATGCCAACCTTGTGTGCATCGAGGTGCACGATCCTCAAAGTACTCAAAAATCTTGAGTGCCTATCAAAGCTCTACACACGCACTCTTTTTCAGAAATGCCATAGAACACTGTCCAACACCACTGCACGCCTGATGTCCCATCTGGTGCACCATGTGTACGAGTACTTGCAGTATGCACTCGAGTGTACATAACCTCGGCAGGCTTGCAACTGCACAGGCTTGCCCATGAGTGGCATGCACTGGGCAGCCGAAAGCTCAGGAGTTGTGGTTTCGGCCCATTCAGCCAGTGGCGAGATGTGGTGGCGTCCGGTGGTTTGTCTATGTTTTGTCTTATGTCTTATGTGATATGTTTTGGGCAAAGGGTTGCTAGAATTTGCTTCTTACTTATTTTTGTAAGAACCTCTTCAGCTTCCCTTTAGAGCCTACATCTTAAATGCAAATTCACAAACATGTGTCCACAATTGCTCAAACGCAATCTTTAGGGTGGCTAAGCAAAGTGTGCATAACTTCGACTCGAGCAAGCACCCATCACAAAATGTTGTTTTGGGTAGGTACTTGTTTGGTATTTTAGTGTATGAAGCAACACGCGACATGACTGCAGTTGAGTCTCTGCCTCCATCTTGCAAGTTTCCAGTTTATTGTTGGCAATTTGTTGAATCTCAAAGTATCTGGGATGGCATGATTTCACAGGAAGGACTTACTTTTACAAAATGGTAGCTGCTTTTGCAGGAAAGGTTCTGTTATAGATCGGTGCTCCAATTGTCTCCTCTATTCTCACTTTAAGGGAGGACACTACCTGGGCATGTCTACTTTTGAACCGCACACTCAATCGGCGTCAAATCTACAGGTGGTGTTTGTAGCCTTATAGAAGGAGGACATGCAAAGTTTCAGCCCTGTGAACCAATTTTATAAAGTTGTAAAAGCTTGGTCTGCTGGGCAAGTTGATAGTGGACATTCATATTAAAAATAGCGCAAAAGAGACGGGACAAAAAGACGAAGAAGCACACAAACGAAGTAAAGCATAGCTTTACCTGGAGTCTGCTCAATGAATCTATTGTTGAGAAATGGTGTTGATCACCATATATTTCTCTGGTGGATTGCACCCTGGAATACTTGTTGCCGGTTACTATGAAAAGAAATTTCAGAAAATATGCATTTTTCAAATAAAAAAAAAATTATGAATTTTTTTTTTTTTTTTTTGCATTTGCCAAGTTTTACAAGTTACAATTTTTTATAATAAAAGAACATGAAAATGCAAAATCTAAGTTCATAATAGTAACCGGCTCGATAAAATTTCGGCATATAATCTGTAAGTATTAAGTCTCTCGGTAGTTTCATACTGAAACAATAGTTTTATTAAGTGGGATTTGCTGCCAAAAAGTGAAGCTGAGATAAATGCACTTGAAGTTTCAAGATGACGTTTTAAAAATTTCTTTTTGCATATTACATGTCAGAAATTCTTTCCAGCAGTGTAGGGGATGTCTTCCTCAAACTCCTTCTGATACACTGAAATTGCTCTCAGCTATTTTCACTTGTGGATGACGAGTGCTACGCAGTGCTGCACACCTCGCCAACATATAAAGAATAATTATTTTTGACATTGTTTGTCAGTGCACATTGACAAGACTTTGTGAGAGTGTTCCTTGTTGTCCATACATGCCAAAACTCTGCAGTTCTGAATATACATTTTTTGGAAAAAAAGGTGCAATTCAAGGTAGTGTCCCCCCTTAACATGTTTTTGTGTTAACACGCAGGGCTCATGTTCTACGCCATCTTCCGAGAGTTGTTCTCCGGCCACAGCCCAAACTCTGTGTACTCGCGTGCGTTGGAGCGGTGCCGAGCCGATCCCAGGGTCACAGCTGCCGTCGGGGAGCCTGTTCAGGGGCATGGAGAGACCACCACCCGGGGACGCCGTAGGCACGTCCCTTCTTTGCCAGCAGTGTCGTTTGCAGTCAGCCTCCCGTTCATAGTTATAGTATATGTTGCCATTCCTAGTTTTATTGGTATGTTAAAGTTAATTGGAACTTTTGCTTTTTCCCTCTTGACACGAGTCTCCAATTAGCTTGTTATAGCAAGAAGGGCGCAGACCAAAAGGAGTATCTTGAATATATAGTCAATGGATCTTTTCTGCAAATGAGTAGAGCTACCCATCATCAATTTGGGAAAATGTTTTAGTGGCTCTCTGTGGCATGCAGCTGCCTACATTGCAATAAACCTTGTCCAAAAGTTTGCGTCATCGCCTGTTCGCCATTGCTTGCTCTGAGCATGTATTGGACACGAGGGCTGCATTAGCGTTCAGTGTGAACTTGGATCCAATCACCCGCTTCGTGCCCAAAAAATGGCGACCATCAATGTTGCTTGATGGACTTTTGAAAAGGGTCTTTTGTGACATTGAGAGCTCAAATCGTTCAGCGATTTTAACTGACATTTTATTCGTCCGTTTCTTTTTTTATAATTTGTAGTCGGACAACTCCATCGACACCACACACACACAAAAAAAATATTCGGACACCAATCTGCATTTTTTTGCGCATGCATAAGTGGTTCTTGCACGAGACCATGATAGTACAACGTTACTTCCGGTTCGGAAATCTCACCGGAATCTGCCAGAATCCATGTTGGAGGCATTCGTCACTGTTATGCTATGTTTTGTATGTTTTGGGGCCATGTTCATGCTGTAGCTTGTCCCCCCCATTCGAGGTTTTAAATTGTCAGTTGTGCCGTAATTAATTGTTCCAGCCGTAAAAGGCGGCGACAAAGTAGAGTTATGGCCAGCAGTATTAGTTGTTTTAGAATCCCGGCAATCATTGGGAACCAGGACAAGGCGACGCTCAAGCAATCGGTCTGCCAGCGTCGTGAATGGCTTCAACAGTTATGCCGGCACAAGCTCGACAGAAAAGCTTCTTACCAACTAAGGGTTTGGTGACTGCACTTAGTGTCAGTTGAGGAACCTCTTCGTAATTGACTAACACGAGTAAAGCAGACAAAATTACTTGTGTGGCAGCTCCAGCCTTGATCTGTGTAGCCATTCAAAAAGTTGGAGGACGAGCTACAGTGCTGAAAAGTTTAGTACAATAGCCCCCAATGATGTCACGTATGGGTAGCGGCACTAATTTTCTCGTCGGTCACCGCAGATGACTAGCAGACAACTCATTTTTTGCTGTCCGCCCGCACCCTTGCAAGGCGTTCAAGTGCTGAGCGACGGCACTTCACGCTCGCATTCAAGGGCGGTCCGAGAATGCTAAACACAAGTCGCGCTTATTGTGACCTGTGTTCTATCCGCTGCTCTCCACCAATTTGGTTTATTATCAAACGCAAGCGAGTCAAACGCCATGGTGCAGTCAGCACTAGGGATTGATGGCCGGAATACTGAAGTCGGTGTACACAGCATCGTGTTGCTGCAAGTACACCGATAGCGGTTGGGCTCGGGGTTTGCCTCAAAAAGCAGTTATTGCTTGCAAAGTATTTTTTTTTTTACTACTTTGATATTGTCATTTATGATCCTTGTGCAGTGTCCTGCCACGTTCACTGCGTCGTGGTCACTGGTGGGTCACACCGCATATGCCAGCTGTGCGGTGTCGAATATTCGGTAATTTTGTGTTCGTGACCAATTGGCGACCCACAACGCACCATATGAAAACAAATGACATTCAAGTGCGCCGTGGGCCATGGATGCCCCACGCGATTCACCTTATCATTTTTTCAAAGTTCCCTGACGGTGCTGCCCCTTAAATTGAAAAGCACTAATAGCAGTATGCTTGCTCAAATGGGTGCCAATCTTTTATTCCCGAGAAGAGGTGACACGTTCCTTTTTCGGCACACCCCATGAGTCCAAGACGATAGGCGGGAAAAAGCGCACCCACATGCTCGAGAAAGCTCGGGGACCTGTAAGGAAGATCCGAAGACGGTGTACAGGTTACTCTGTATTGATCAGTGAAAGCACCAACCCAAGGAAGGCCAGAGTGATGGCGAAAAAAGTCGGCACATTTTTGTGGAGGCTGTTAGAGGGAGCCATGTATGTTTCTGGCGCGATTTAACACTGGGCACAAATAGAAGCCCTCGAACTACAATAATTCTCTCGCAGCCATTCGAAATTTGATAATATGGAAGCTCTTGTTTGAAAAAAGCCTCACAGTTTTAGCAATTTTAAGTTGGTTCTTTTCACTGAAGTGTTCCGAGGGTGCTTTCAGTAAAATGTGTCATGAAATATATCACTGTTGAACATTAGCGGGTATTCGGGCATTCACTGTACCAACATCTCTAATTTCTAGCCAGAAAATAAATTAAAGCTTCGATATCTTAAAGCAAACATCAAAGCCTTCGGCAGTACTTGTTTGATTAGTGCCCGTTGCGATGTGGACTGCCGCTGAGTACGCAATGATGCCCTAGGATAGCTCGGCACATTTCAAAGAGCCTGGTGCAGCACCAACCACAAGGCCGCTCTCGCCATTTCTTGGCGGAACGAGAGAACAGTTTTAGCGAGTGACCTGCCGGTGCGTCATGACGCACCCGATGGAAATGACATGTGACCCACCGGTGGGTCACGACACAAAGGAATCGAGGCCTCAAAAAGAGCTGCCACAGTGAATGTGTTAACAACCGCAAATCATGGCAAGACGGCGTATAAAAATGAAGTTATCGCTGTTCTCAACGAACAAGCTACAAGAGACCTCGTGTACGGTCATGCATGGCCGACGAAAAACCTGAGGCAGAGCAGCAATGTTCTGAAAGTGCGCTTTGAGAACGGCTGCTGTCTGCCAACCTCCCCTGTGCTACAAGGATGGCACCCACCAGGCAATCTTGTTCCCACTGCGTTGGCTTGACTGCTCCACCACGTGTTGCCCTTTCGTTGGTCCAGCAATCGCTCGTTTGTACTAATCTCTTTTAGTGCTGACTGTACTTTTCCCCATACTAGATTGCAGAAAGGACAGCATATAAAAATGACTAGAGTTCCTGACGAGGCTTCTTTCATATGTATGAAGTATAGATTATTTGATACATATGTCATTATTTCTAATGTACCATATTTTCCGGACTGTAGTCTGCACCCGGTGTATAGTCTGCAGGGACAAATTTGGGGTCAAAAATAAAAGTTTTTGCTTGGTTATTTCAAAGCAGACATCAAAGCCTTCGTCCCATGCACCAAGTGCGGACTATGCACCCGGTGCATAGTCCGCACCACATTTTTCTTTTTCATCAGTGAACAATGTTTAAATTAGCTATGTTTCAGGCCCAAACTTGTGTTCCACAGCAGTTGTGCAAAAACAAGCGACAATTCTAAGCAACATAACAATTGAAAGAAATATAGAGTGTGTTCAATGCTCGCCAGCATTCCGGTGACGCTTGTATATTGCTAATATGCCAGTCTTGTCACTATTTGAAAATGACCCCGTCTTGCATCTTTACGAGCGGTTAAAAACATTCCAAACGTAAAGGATAAAGTATGTGGGCTATGAAAGGTGTCCCTTTTAATTATCTTCTCTGTTGGGCAGCCTTTATTGGGCACTTGTTATCAAAAATTTGATAACAAGTGCCCAATGAAACAGCACCATGCAGGTGTTGTTTTGAACGTAGAACAATCATATTTGCACAGAGCCGAAAGAATAAAGCAGTACTTATTGAAAATCTAAGTATATTACATGGCTCCCAATTTATTTTGATATCGTACATGCACAGGGAGTTACTGATTCAGCGTTACTGCATAGTTCCTGTCGTCTTTCTTAGTTTTCCAGATGTCCTTTGTTCGTTTGGCACGTATATCCCCTATGCCGAAAAGCGCCGACGTTGTCTTCGTGCTAACAGTGTGTGACAGTGTACATAAATACATGTACGAAGCCGTTTTAGCACCGTTTTACAGCAGAGCTGTTAAGGGCTAGGTTCCCCAGGATCGTGTCTGTGTATGTCGACACAAACCTACCTGGACAGCTACCACCATCTATAAGCGACGGCGGCAAGCACACGACCAGTATGGTTTCTGCCTTCGTTCGTAGATGGCGGCAACCTTTCCAGCTATAATAGAAGAATGGATAGTTGGGCACGTTGGTGGGAATTCATCGGAAACAGCTTGAAAAATAGACGACGACGAAGAAGAAGCACACAGTGTATCGAGTACAGCTCCGCTGGTCTTCCTTCTTCACGAGAGTGGAAAGGCTGAGCGATTTTTAATGCCATTACGTTTAAAAAAAAACGCCGTACGGTAGCTGACCAATTATTCCGTCTGCATGACTAAGAAATGTTCCAAGCTACTTAGCATGTACGAAATATTGGTGAGATTTGCTCTTATAATTGAGCACAAGGAGAAAATGCCCTCACTTTTTCCTATAAAAATATATTGCCGGAAGTCAGTTTTCAACTGGTTGCTGTCTGCTTCAATTTGCTGCAACACATCAGTGCTAGTTGAACCTTTAGCATACATTATAATAACCATATGACCAAAACACCATTTCAGTTTCCCCGCTAAATTTAGCGGGGAAAATGTCGACACAACTTCATATCATGTGACCTATACACAAATTCAGTTTCCCCGCTAAATTTAGCAGAAAAATTGACATTCACATGACCTCAACGCCAAATCAGCTTCCCCACGAAATTTAACGGGGAAAATGACATCGCATGGCTTGACGTCGCATGACCTATACACAAATTCAGTTTACACGCTAAGTTTAGCGGGAAAGTTGACACGTGACTGCCTGCGGCTTTTTCAATTATGTCTGCAGCTAAACGCTTAATTAGACAACAACATAGTTAGTTTTGCCTTAATTTTTTTACCACAGTGTGTTTATGGGCTGAATTTCATGCAAAAAGTCTGCGCTCAAATGTGACGAAAAAGCATTACACACAGGCCAAGGCAACATAAGGCATACACAGCCCATAGTAAGCATCATCATGATCATAAACTTTATTGATGCAATAGTGGTCAATGCATAAGCATCCATAGAGCATTTCAGTCATAATTAATCATAAGTATTCATAATTAGGTGTAATTAATTCTAACGAGCGAGATTTACCAGGTGGCTCAGTGGGAACCTAACCCCAGACCGCACGATCTGCAGCCCGACGCCATTGCTCGGCGCCATGAGAGAACATGAGTGGATTTAGAGGGGGGGACGAGGGGGTGCGATCATAAGCCTCCCAAGGTCAGTGTTTTCTTGCTGAATTCACCAGCTTTTTTATGAAAACATGTCCTTTCCCAAAATCAACTTTTTTTGCAGATTTTTTTTTTCTTTCTATGTAGTGTCCCCCCTTAACAAATAACCAATGATCTGCTTCCTTTTGCCCCACACAGGCATGTCAGCCACATGGAATATCTCAAGGATGGCATCAACCACATGCGCATGAAGTTCTACATCAAGGGCCCCCATAAATCTGGCACAGTCCACCTTGAAGTGAAGGAGGTATGCATTCCTCTAATATCGCTTGTGGCAATGCTACAATGCTGCACCAATCCCTTTGAATTATATGCATGCATTGACTGCCAAACTGAATTGAACCATTCCCTATCCACGCGCTTGGCGAAACTCCAGTGGCAGGCTCAGGAATACAAATGGCATTTGTCATATAAGAACACCAGCTACATAGCACAACTCAAGGCTAGAAGTGCTGCGAGCTAATCGAGGTTTGCGAGTTTGCTGAAATATGCGAATTCCAGACAGTGCAGGGAATAGGTCACTGCCTATTTATCCGGCTTGAACGAACGACTGACTGCACCAGGTCATGTAGTAGTTTTGTGGCGACACTCTTATAAAAGGGGTACGGAGACAAAATGTTCGCTCTTATTTCTTCGTTTGGATGCCATGAAAACTACACTAATGCAGGACACTTACTCTGGTCGAAAACAAAACCAAAATAAATTACTGGCATCGCTTTAGTGGTGCCAAATATGATCACGGATGAAATATTACGGCTAAGTGAAACTGCATACTCCACTAAAACCGATTTTAGAGATGCGACCAGCTGCTCTTTAGCGGGCAGCAAGTGGGTTAGCTTTTAGTCAAGGAACACTGACGCAGCACCTTTCTTGAAGTTAGAGGAACGACGTCCACGGTGTAAATTGGAAAAACGCGTTTACTTAGCAGGATATGTACAACGCTCACCGCTGCCTCGATCGTCTCGATGTTCTCTGTCCTCGCGCTCTTTTTCGCACTTTCTCGTCTTCGGTCCTTTGTTGCGCGCACATTCTTCCTCCTCGTTTTCAATATTTAACAGCACCCTTATGACGTTGTGTCGTGGTGGATGAATGAATTTGGAGTTTTCTGGCACAGCAGCAACATAGGCAATAGTGCGCCACGTGTCGTGGTGGAGCTGCGGTTGATTGGTTGCAGTGATGTGATTGCTGCGCCAATTGCGCCAAACTGCACCAAGGGGCTAACCCTGCTACATCCTGCTACATTTTGCCAAAATATGGGTAATCTGTGCCAAGCCTGCACCAAAGGACCAGTTTTGGTTGCCTTTGAAAACCGAAACTAAACCGAGTACCGTAATTGAGCATGCGTGAGCTAGGTGGCGCAAGTGGCCACCCGACACAAAGTACCCTGCATCAATCATGGTATTGTAACCCTGGAGCCGGGGAATAGAAGGGACGTAGGACAGGCACAAAACTCCAGTGTCAGTATTGAATCAGCTCACCTCCACCCTTGCTTTAGTTAGTACATCAATCGTCCATCCGGTCTCGCATGGTTTTTCCCGCCGTCTCTTTTTTCGCGCTCTCGTCGTCTCAGGAATCTCGTCTCGCGTTTTTAATAACGATAGATGCGGGTGTGTGCGGACGCTTCGACGCTAACGTGCTGAGTACCAGCCATGCCGTGAAACGAAATTACGTTTTTGCACGGCAGGAGTTTTGTCTTGAGCTGAAGCACTCGCTTCTGAAAGCAACGGCCGTGGGAAAACTATTTGGTCCCTGCCGGCCAGTCCGCACGTCGCTACGGATATGGAGCTTCCTAAACTGAAAACTGAAACATAAGGACCGCCGCATGTTCATCAACATTCCTGTTCTTGTTTAAAACATACGCTAGTAAAAAAATCCCTTTTTAACTCGACGACTGCCGTGTGGAAGTATTTGTTACCTAGGTTTCTCTCGGTTGGCTTTCTTTCGAGAGGGACCCCGGTACATGAAAAATCCGTCGCGAAAGAAAGTTGATGAAGAGAAGTGAACTAAAGCAAAGAAGGCAATATCTGCACGCTGAACCCGCACAGCGTGCTTGTTTGTCTCGAGTTCAGTCGTTGCACAAAGCGCTCCAAGAACTTTTTGACCCTGGCTTGCGATGTCCTGCATCGATGCGCTCAGGTTCTTTTTTTCCCGTATGTTTAGCTTGTACCTCGCCACCGGCCTTGCAAGCACGCGCCGCTGGACTGTTTATTGTCGCATGCTGGGCAGTTACATTTTGCATACATTTTTGGAAACCATTTGGCGACAGGGCGGAAAGGCATGGATTCGGTTTCGATCGAACAGCCGTCTCCGCTCATGCGACGAAGCACGTGCAGCTGCAAGCCTGCCGAAGTTGCCCTGACGTGCATGCAAACATGATTGCACGACAGAGGCACCAGCCGGGACACTTGCAATCCACTGTTTTACGTTTACTTTTGACGAAAATCTGGCACGTCGGGAATCAGTAAAACGGTGGCAAGCGGTTTTTGAGAATTGCTCGGCAAGCGTACAGCACTGTACACTTATGGGATGTCTCAATGTCTCTTTGGAGACATTGAAAGTGAACATTCATTAGTAGCCTAAGCCAAAGCGAAGCTTGCAGCAGCTTTGCAAAACGTTTCGAGAAGCAAAAAGTACCCGGTAGTTATAATGCACCTTTTTCTTGTGTGCATTTTCGCATTGCACTGCAGTAGCTATGCGTTTCATCAGTCGGAGACTGCTTCCATTTATTATATTATATCACTAGTCAACCTAATGCTGTGGATATTTACTACTAAGCTGGTCATTTTCAAATAAATTTTAATATGTGAAGTCTGGTTCTTACCTGTCTATAGTGGGTAGATATATACGTATAATTTAACTGAAGCATTGCAAAATGTGTTATGTCATTGACATTTCAGTTACACCTTGAAAGACTCCTAGGTGGTCGAACTTGACCATAATTCGTTTATTATGGCGAGCAAAGTGCCCTTCGTTTGTCCAGCACCTAAAACAAATATTTTTATTTTTCTAAAAATATCTGCTCCAAAAGCCACTTTTGCTGCTCCAAAACATTGTTTTGGCTGCTCCGAAAGGTGCTCCGAAAGGTGCTCCAAAACGGCTTAGGCCAATCACATCACTGTGGTTGTACCACGTGCCACTGCACCACATTGACGTCACGTCGCGGTCGAACGGCTGATGATCAGTGTTGCCATCCCCTTAGGAGATAGTAGTTTTGGTTTTGCCGGAGACGCCCGAAACCAAAGTTGGAGCCACGATACTTATAAAACTACTCACAATATCGAAACAAAAATTATACCTTGTAATTCAGGAACACTGCCTGAGCTGAAAACGGCCGTAATCCCAAATTAAAAAAAATTAAAGATGTTTACAATTCTCTGTAATGCCGAATTAGAGTGCAGCTCTTGAGGAGGAGGAGGGGAGTGTATCCTCCCCCTCCCCTCCTACTCCGCTTCCATTTAGCGGGAAAATTTTCGCAAAATTTCTCCACCAAATTTAGCGGAAAAATTTCCCCGCTAAATTTGGCAGGAAATTTATCGAAATTTTTTCCACTAAATTTAGCGGGATAGTTTTCCCGCTAATTTAGTGGGGAAATTCAGTGAAAATTTCTCCGATAAATTTAGCAGGGAAATTTCCCCTCTAAATTTAGCAGGTAAATTTTCCCATAATGCAACGTGCGGTCACACTCGGTTGCATTATTTTTATAATGCAACGCACGCAGTTACGCCGACGGCGACGCCGCTCAACCCGGAAACGGGCGCCTAAGAGCTGCGCTCTAGAAATATTGACGGGAGTTGCCCTTCAATATAGGGGGCTAATTGTCACGATAAGTCGGTAATGAATTAAAATTACTTTCTAAATATCGGTATTGAAAATAAATGGTTTCAATAATAAACTTGTTGGGTGCCATCGAAAACCACTAGATAAGTGAATTTGAGCAAGATTTGGGGCAGGTGGGAAGCGTGGTGGTGCGCTGAACTTGCTATTTATATTAAAAATAGTGCAAAAAAGACGAAGAAGCACGCAGGAGAGCAGGCGCTTTCTGTACCGTCTTTTTTGCGCTCTTTTTAATGTGAATGTCAATTACCAACTTGCCCAGGTGACCAAGCTGAAGTTACTACTTGTGGAACGGTCGTAATGCTGGCAGTGCAAATGCGCGGATGATAACAGACGGAAAACAAATGTGCGGGCGCGTTTTGTTGCATGAGTGGCAACTTCAGCGCACCACCGCACTTCCCACGCACCTCAAATCTTCCCAAAATTTACTTTAAAGGTTTTTGATGATGCTGAGAAAGTTTCGGACTGGAGCCATATCTTTATCTCCAATTGTCAAGTTAAATACCAAGTTCTGGACCGACTTATCATGACGATTATCCCCCTATAATATGCCCCCTTGGCCGTACAACTCAACTGCATTAACCGCTTTAGTGTAGCTCTCACAGCATTTTTAAAACAAATCTGTAAAGCCTTACAAAAACACCCCATCTTTATGAGCTCAGTGATGTGATTGTTGCGCCAAATTGCTTACCCTGCTACATCCTACAACATTTTACCAAAATGTGAGGCATTTGCGCCAACGCCCTTAAGAATACTAAAAATATAATAGCTCAGGCCTCGCTGCCCGGCAGGACCATTACGATGTGCTTATGCGAGTTTTCAGAACTTTTGACTATCCTCTCAAATAATGTACTGTTCGATCGCATTTCGTATGAAAGGCTGACAGAACTCTGAAGATTACCAATAATTCTCATGTTCGTCGTCTGGTCTGCTGAAGGATTATGTCGTTAAATGCGCTTCTCCTCGCGCACTGGTGTACTGCAGAGAAGCGAAAACCGCGGAGTTAGCACCGCGATTTTACACGTCTTGCCTCGCCGTAGCGCACCCCTGTGCTAAGGGGAAAGCACTCCTCCAGAGCGAGACGCGGCACAATTCCTGAATACAACTTCGGTTCGTATATATCAGGGGTCTCAAACACGCGGCCCGCGGGCCGCATGCGGCTCGTGATTCGCTGGGACGCGGCCCGCAGGCAACTGGCTACGAGTCGCGGTTCCCATGTCTCGAGCGCTAGAAAAAGCATGCGGCTTTGTGATCTCTTCTCGCCGATTCATTTTCGCTCGAAAAGTAGCTCTGCTCTTTTAACGCATACACATAGTTTATGCTTATCTGTGTTTATTTGCCCTATGTTTTGCTTTATTTTTTGCTTCCAAGCTTTTTTGTAATGTACAACTGTTCCGCTACCAGGCCGCAAGCGCGAGCTATTCGTTGAAGGGTGCATCTCGGGCTGCGTTAACTTTTGATCAGCCGGAGCAACAGCCAAAAATAAAGCTACGAGCTCGGGATCCTCGCCTTCAAAAAATATCACAATTAAAAGACAAGTATTTGCTCAGAGTGTTGTAATAAAAATCGTAAGGAAAGCAAGAACTGCCAAATTAACCGATTGTTTTTTTTTTTTGTTTTTTTTAGAAATATGTTTGAGCTCGGGAACGACAGTGTACGTCTCCCCTTGTTCGATTAAAACTGGCAGCACGTTAGCGGGACGGTGTCATTTTTAATTCTAGTTATCACATCACGGCAGGGCCCAGAGTAGTCATAAAACACATGAAAGTGAAAGACCTCACTGGCAAAATTGTGATTTTACAAAAAGCATAGACAGCAAGGTCTTTTCACTATAAAATTTTATGCTTCCCCCCTCCCCACTCCCTCCCCCGTCTTACGTTGGCTCGCGACCTTTCCGGTGTGGGCTATTTGGCCCCCAAATTTGAATGAGTTTGAGACCACTGGTATACATGATAGACTACGATATCCTGGCGGTACCTCTTTCCAAATCGATATTTAGCGAGGATACTTCGGTATTGCAAAAACATTTATATTCTCTCTTTCGCATGTGTATTTCTTTATGCCAACTCATTTGTTTAGCTATCACTTTTATATAGATGCGAGTAAATTAGAACTAAATTGGCAGGGGCAGTGAATGGAAGCTTGAGAAGAACCTTAACGATTTCAACTGGATTGTTTTCAAGTTTCGTTCACATGTTGTTTTTGTTATGAAGTTCTACTCATAAAACGTAATTGATGTTCGTAATGAAATGACAAGTGCTTTGTTTTTTTTTATCTGAATTATAAATTGATGTTTTATTACAACCTTTAGAGCTTCAAGGGACCATTAATTTATGGGCTCAATATTATTGTATTATTTCAATGGGATTCAGTATCTAAAATAACCATTCACGGCAGTTTGTGCTGTCCTTCATCACTCACCTTCTCACCCTGTCTGGTGCTTCTCCACGCAGCTAAACGCTAGTTTTGTGTTTGAGGGACTCAGTCCCTACTGTGCAATTGATGCTAACAAAGGGTTGCACATAAGTGAGAAGGCAATGTAGACATTGCCTTTTAGTTGGACACGCCGACACATTAATCTTAACATGATGTCTGCATTGATATGAATAAAAATGATGCTACAAAAGTTATTTTTGCTGCTCCAAAATTGACTTTTGGCTGCTCCAAAATGACTCAGACCAATCACATCACTTTGAGCTAATTTTGAATAAAATTTGATTGATGTTACTTATACATTGTGTGCTTATTCATTTATGTGGGGTACAACATGCTAACAGTTTGAGCTCTTAATATGGTATGTGCTAAACAGCCAATTAATTTTAATTTTTTTTTCAGAACACTAGCAAGGACTTCGAGTATCGTTATCTTTTTGTTGATCTTGATGGCCACCCAAAACGAACGATCATCCTTGAAGACAACAGGGAAAACCACACTTCTGGTACCACCTTTGATGTGGTATAGCTATGTGGTCCTTCTCCAACACAAGTTATCTGTAGATGTTGTTTTTTTTTATTTGACATTAAATAAAAGTGCTTGGTTAGTTCTCATGGTGTCCTTATTTAGGCATATTACTGAAATTGTTATCATGTAAACAAAACAGCTTGTGATTTGTTTCCTTGTATATCACTAAGTGTTCATCTGTTCAAAAAAGAAAAAAAACTTTTCAGGTAAATATTTACCTATCTCCACCATTTTTTAAATTCCCGGTTTGAGATTTTTGGTATGAAGTAGTATTCGGCTTGGCACAGTTGAGTGTGAACATTAAAGCATTCGCTAAAGTGGAAAGAGGTGGGAATAGCTTCCCCTGGACTCTCAACCTGTCCATTGTGGCTTATTTTTCGGCCCCATGTTCGTACACAGAAACTTCTCCCCTTCCCTTCCTAATATGACACCTTTTGTTTCCTCTAGTTTCCTACCACGATATCCTTGAACCAAGTCTCCGCAGGATGCACCAGTACTTCGGAGAGTGGTGGATTAGGATTAATTAAAAACACTCAGATATTCGAAATCATGAAGACAAGAAAAAAACAAATCGCCCCTTTCCCCCACTATCGTGGAAAAGGTAGACGTAACGCAGAATGTGATGCGGCATCCAGCTAGATGCGATGCGGAGTGCAAGTTTGTCTGCTTCTTGCACAGGAGATGTGATGACGTCAGAACGCCAAGCTCGTATTGACTGAATGAAAGAAATAGTGGGTAGACCTCAAGGCATCTAGCATTGAGGTCTACCCACTATCCTTGCAATCAGAGTTCGGCGTCGTTCTGACGTCACCAGAACTCCTGCGCAAAGACTTGCTCTCCGCATAGACCACTACCAAGAATCCCTGTAAGCAACACTGCACGCGTTCAATTATGGGACACTTCTGGCCATGGAGAATAGTGGCATGGTTTTGGTTTCGATTGCCCCATTGACCAAGTAGTGTATTTCAACGCAGCATAAAAATGAAGTCTGCGCTTGCTTGCATTGCGTCCATTCATCTTTGCAAGAGCCCCATTAAAACACGGACCTCTGCTTAGGCCTAGCGAGGAGTATGGCCTGCCGTGGTCCCGGCTACTGTTCCAGAGTGCAGTATGACCCACCCAACTCACGGATAGTTTAAGAAGCCCAGGGCATTGGGGGGCCGATGGAACAGGATGACGGGCCCAGTATACTTATTGCATGTGCCATCGTAGTCATGTGTTTGCCTGCGCACTAACTCTGGCATGCCAGGAGCCCGAATATATGTGCACCAGCATTCCATTCACTATAGGACCATATGCAAAAAGATGGTCAATTATCAAACTTCCACCATGTTGGGGGGGATTTCCGTACCGATAGTTTCTCCCGAGAGACAAGGGGCCCGGCAAAATGGGAGTCTTAGATCCAAAATATAATCACGTGTAAGCAAGTCCAGTATGAACCCTTCACGCGTCTGCGATGACCGTTCACCGACCTGGATGGCCCAATTAACTGCTTGAGTGATGCGGCCACGTTGCTGCTAATTCCTTTTCAAGGATTTCGCGCAGTCTTTCTTTTCTTCTCTGAACCAAAACTAAACAGCAGCCCATTGAGTGCACAAATACATTGCCCCAATATCATGAAATCAGAGTTAAATGCAGACGTGCCTCGTCCAAAGCTGGAAGGTGTTATGATAAAAGCTGGCAAGTATTTTATATATGGCCTATTGCAGTGCTGTCGTTTCTGTCACCATGGCAACTTAGACACCATAACTCCAGGAATGAGACGTACCTGAACGGCGATGAATGAGTTGTTCCCCGCAGTGGCTTCCTCATGAACGGCACTATCCAAAACGCACCAACAAGAAGGTAGAAGAAAAAAAAAAAGACTGCAATTGGCTGGCACTCGTCTTCATCGGTGAAGAGGTGAGCGCTGCATCCGCGTTCGGCTGGCAATCTCGTTTTCTAGTTCCGTCACTAGAGTTAACCAGAGACGGTTGGGTGCCAACCATCTTGAGTGTTCGCTCCAGCGTAGATGGCCTATAGGTAGGGTTCCATGTATTCGGATAAATCCAGAGAACTCGCAAAAACACTCGCCGGTAAAATTTTTGTCAATTCGGATTTATCCGAAAAACCCAAAAATTCGATGACCCAATGCACACACACACAAAAAGAAAAAAAAGGCGGTATTCTGCAATTTAATTTGGTCAGAGCAGAGTGTCCAAGGTCCCGAGAAAATGCCACCTCGGATTCCTTTCAACCCTCCGATCACTGACAAAAGGGGTCTTTCGGTTTACGTTGTCAAGGTTCATTCAGAACAGGTTACTGTACCTCTAGACCACAACAAATGCCACTGTTCCAGTTTGAATCAGACTACCGTATGTGTGCTTCTTAAAGGGAGGAAGGGCTGCGTTTTTGTGAGTGAAAGCTGTGAACCAGATTTCATAAAAGGGGGCAGTTGAAGTTTCTAATACACCCTTTACCACTCCACCAGGCAGCCATGGGGTAGGGTGATGGAATAGGATGGGAAGAAAACGAGCTTCCCAGCGGCTACCTCCACGAGTTTAGTGCTTTTAAGGTATTTATTTATCGAAGAAACACTTGTTTGCAAGTTTTGTCGTGGGACAGATTAGTATTGCCAATGGCAAGAGTGCCAAGGCCAAATCCAGCTGAATAAATATTACTTGATACAAGTGCATTCCTTTTAATCTAGCACACGTTTACACCTGGATATTGTTTATTTTTATTTTCGCAAAAATAGAAAATTCTGCAAAATTAATTTCCAGATTTTGGAGACATGGGAATCTAACAAATATAAACTCGGGAAAACTGAATTTCCCGCAAAAAATAAACTCCAAAAAACGCCCTCCAAGTTTGATGAAAAAACAGACTCCAAAAACACGGAACCCTACCTACTACATATGGGTGACAAAAAAATAAAATTAAGTAAACCATTTTTGAACACAAAAAAGAATAAAACAAACTCAAGACAAGGGACGACAAACATATCTTTCATTGAAAGATATGTTCGTCGTCACTCGTCCAGAGTTCGTTTTATTCCTTCTGTGTCAAGTCAACTTTACCAACATGCTCCACAGTTATTTAAATCATTTCCACCTGCAAAAAATAAAAACAATATAAGCGAGGCAAAACAAGAATGAGTAACAGTTACACTTAAAATGTGAACACCTTCCGATGGTCTGTCAAGAGCAATGTTCTCGCTCATACATATGAACTGCGATTCGAGGTGAAAACGGCCACATAGAAGTGTGTGCCTTCCATCAAGGTCCCAATATCTGCAGTTTCTTTGGTTGCAGACCTAACATCCTTCTATAATTAAATCCCAGAAATCTAGAACAAGTCATTCCGGAACAACCACAGATAGAGCAAAGGGTGCTGTAATGCACATTTTTATTTACCTCATGTGAAACAAGGATTCAAGACACTTCAAACAGTAGAGAGGTAAAAACATGAGTGATGAGACAGAAAATACTGTGCATACAGAAAACAACATGATTATGAGCTTCTAGAACTTTTATCCACATACATCTTCCAGGTTACACAATTTTGCTTGTATTTCCTTTAAAAAAAACAGTTCAAGATTTTATATTGGTGGCTTCTCAGTTTTCATTTGTAAAACAAGTTAGTGTCTATGGACCTAGAGCATGCATCTCCCAGTGTTGCATGGAGATGACGGGCACATGCACTCCCAAGATGTCTTACAGATTCTCGAGCTCGGTGCTCAGGTCTTCCACAACACTGCACACAGCTTTGCTGTTCAGTGTGCACACTGGAAAAGAACACTCTCAGAGATCAACTTCTGCCATATGTTGTTGAAATTTCCACATTAGTACTACATTGAATGGTCTTTTAGAAGAAATGCCAAATTGGCAAAAAGAAACTCAGATGTGATGTCCGATTCTGAATGAGGAGATGCCCTTCAAACCCCTCGGCTTTGCCACCACTACAGAAATAGCTTGAGCACCGCAAATGCTTGGATGCACAAGTTTAGCTGGAAGAAAGTGGGCCTTTCTACCTTGTACCGCAAGCAGTTAAGTCACCAATCGGCATTCAATCCACAATGAAGAAAATTGTGCACAAAACCAGCCAAATGGAGGGTAGGCAACTCATACGCTAAGTGAGGTTGTTTGCACAAAACACTAGACGCATAAAAGGCACTTCCTTCGAAGGGTCTGCCATATTTTTTTATCACGGAACACTGGTTCATTTACCGAATCCTTACTAGGAATATATAAGAAAGTTAAAAAGGACACCACTTCTATGCATCGATTAGAAGTCCCAAATGTGTCAGAGGTCACAGGATGCCTGTAGCTTTATGTATTTTATACATTTATGCACCAAAATGCAGTGCAGCCACCTCTTGTGCTCGTTTCTTCCTGAAAACGAGTGCAAGCAGTCAGTACTAATTTAAAACGTTTAAAATTCATTGTGTTTCATATTACGACTTTTAAACATGCAAATGTACTAAAAAGCTATAAGGCACTGCATTATCACATTTGCTCTATTAAAAGTAGAGAGAACTCAAATGTATACAGTCCTACACAAAAACTGAAAATAGCACGCCACTCTGTCTCAGTGCCATAGCACCATTTAGACCTTGGAACCATCTTCAAAACCACAAGAAAAAGCCGCTAATGTCCGATGATGCACAATTGCATGCACTGACTGATGCAATTGATACCAAAAGTGGTTATAAAAATATAGTGTTCCTTTGAATAAAAAATACTTTCAGTGCAATCTAACTTGCTTACCACTGAGTAAAAAGAATGGCCTCGAAACCCTAGCACCAAAAAAATGCAATGTCTCTTAGATGACATCACGACAACAAATAAAGCATGTACCCCCCAAAAATATATATTATGGTGAGATAGAATAGCTCTCTCTCTCCTAGTGCTCTCCCAACATGTTAGCAAAGATTCTGCAAACAGGTAATCCCACGAAGCACACCAAGAACACACCTTTCCCAGCAGATGCAAGGAAAAACAATCGAAGTTGCATCATGTCAACTGACCAGTATCACGCAATTATCTCTATTTCTAGATCTCTCCTATAGTTTATAGCTCTCTCCAGGTTTGCACAGGTCCGCAGGTGCAAACGAAGTTGCTGGAAGCTCTCCTCGTGTGCTCCGCAGAGACCACACTCAAACACGGTGTTGCGCCCATTGAGCCACATGAGTTGCTCAGCCCGGCCAACGGTTGCTAGTTCCCCGCTTCCATTGTCGTTAACCTCTACACCTGAGCGCAACATCTTGGAACCAGAGTGGACCAGCTTGTGCCTCCTCAGCTCCGCCAAAGTGGCATAGCGCCGCAGGCAGATGCGGCACTGGTTCGGCACCTCCCCGGGATTGCCGTGCATCCAGAGGTGCGACCGATACTGGTCCGGTGTGTAGAAGCGGATGTTGCAACGCGTGCACACAAAGGGCTTGCGCCCCATGTGGATGTTGAGGTGTGCATTAAGCAGAAACAGCAATGGAAACACCCTGTGGCAGATGTGGCACTCGTGCACCTTGCGCTGGCACTTGAGCCGCTTGTTGGACACCCTCCGCACCAGCTCGGGGTCCGGCTCGGAGCCGGGCTCCGAGGGCACCAGGCTCCGGATGGCCCCCATCCCTGCAGTACGAACCTTCCCCGCAAGACCGTGGAGACTGCGGCCCGCACCGAGCATCGAGGTGAAATCGAATGCCCCGTGGGCTCCCCACTCCGACGTGGCACAAGGAATGTAGAAGGGGGGCTTGGCTGCTCGGATGGAAGTCTCGGGTTGCAGAGCCTCCCAGCGGTCTGCCAGATGGCGGGAAAAGCGGGCCGTCCGCAGCGACCCGCTCCAGGCCGACCTGCCCGGAGGAAGGCCCTCAGTGCGACTCAGCCGCAGCAGTGCTCCGGAGCCAAAGCGCCGAGCCGAGAGGTGCTGCTGCACGTCCCGGAAGTTGAGGAAGCCCTTGCCGCAGTGCGTGCACCGGTGGAGGCTCTCCACTATGTGCACCACCTGCGGATGACGACAGACAATAGCTCCTGACATGAACAAGGGTAGGGCAACTGCTAGTGCCCACTCCTACAACCATTAAAGCCAGGCACCTAATGTGCTGCACCATATCAGACTACAGAGATGGCTCCCTCCCTATAGGCCCAGTCTTCCCTTTAACGTGTCTCATTAGCTGGGCTATTTATGAATATAATTCTCCGACTGCTGGACCCTATGTCAACTCTGCATACCGATTATGAAAACAAAATAAAAAAATATGTACGCTCGATCATGCCGACAAAGACTGGTGGTAAGCACAGAATATCTGATAGTCCTACTTATCAGCGTTCGTCTGCGGGTTCCCTGGTGAAGGCTCCTTCAGCAGCTTCTGCCATTTTTTACATTCTCGATAGCTCGCCCCTCTTCTTCCACTGTGGCCGCATTGGAAGGAGAAAGAGGCATCTGATTGGCACAGCGTCACTACAAAGTAAGTGTGTCAAAGAGTGGTTCCCATTTCTCACAAATGCTGCGAGATGGTACAGCATGACATACCCACACGATTTCAATGTCGCGAGGCGCGAGACGGCGCCTGGGCACATGGCCTTCGAATGCCGCGCGAAAGGGTTTCTCTTCACATCGAGGGCAAACACTATGTTAGAAAGGAACTTCAACAACTGCTGGAGCAAAAACATTGGGGTGCATCGATACGAAGCAGAGAACTTAAACTGGAACATGAAAATCAACCTTCTAAGGTATTCGCTTGTTTGAAAGGGAGAGGGCAAGTAAGAACACTGCTAAGACAGTGATCCACAACGACAAGGTCTGCAGGGGACAACCGGACATGTACAATGCTTTCTACAACTACTACGATAGCAAGACCACACCGTTGGCTTAGATCCCTACAGAAATCCTGGACAGGGTGCCAAAGATGAAGGAGGAAACCAGCGTGCAGTCAAAGAACTGATCACTACTGCACTGGTCAAGAGGGCAATTATGGACCTCCATGTCAACACAGCCCCTGGTCCCAATGGAATCAACAGCGAATTTTATAAAACATTTTCGAGGGAATTAAATTCAAGCCTCGTTTACATTTTTTAAATGTTAGACAACGGAAACTACTGACACCATCAATGTGCAGGAGCCACATAGTTCTGATTCCAAAGAAGATTGAAGCATCAAAGACTCCTCGGGTTTTGGACTTCCGACTCCAAGTCTGCTCAGCGGCTAGAGGCAGGACTGAGTGAAGTGGTCAGCAATGACCAGAGCTGCCGCTTTAGGGACAGCTCGATCGCCTGGACCCTACATTTAAAGAGGACAGTCAGCAAGGCAGCAGAGGCGAGCACCTTCCCAGTGGCCATGCTCCCGTTGGACCTCAGCAAGGCTTTTGATAGTGGATAGCTTCCTCTTCACACTGCTGCAGCACTGTGGAGTTCGTGAATATTTGGAGGATTGGTTCACAGTATGCTACAAAGATATCAGCATGAAACTGATAATCAACTCTGCACGTCACGAATGCCCGCTCTCTCCCCTACTCTTTTCGCTCCCTACTTGGAACCAGTCTGTCGCATGACACTTCAGAACGATTCCATCAATGGATTGCTACATGGAAGCCACCACATCAAGGTCCTGGCATACGCCGACGATGGGATTTTTTGTTCCACCGAGAAGGAGGTTGAGGCTGCACTGAACGTTGTTCAGGCAGCCTCAACCTCCTTATCAGGGGCAGCACTGAATCGCCAGAAATCTAAGAATCTGTGGCTCGGCGATTGGGTTACGACGTCGCCTTCCTTTCTGGGGAGCCTGTGCATTAGGGAAAGCCCTGCTTCCCTTTGGAATGGTCGGCCGGATCCCTTGGTGGGAGCGGCATATTTCCATCATCAGGTGTGGAGCACTCTTATTTCAAGCAGCACTTTGCACCACCTGGGTAAATACCTTTCCCGAGCTCTACCACCCACAGGCTACACAGAGCATGAGTGATTTTTGTGTGGCGGCCGCCAGGGCGGAAGTTATGCAGAGGACAAACCTACACTGGAGAGTGAGGCAGGGCAGTTTTTGAGACCAAAGTGACCTGGTTATCAGAGCTGCTTTTCACCATTTGGGAAGCAGTCCCTTTTCAAAGTGACAGGTCTCGGTGACCGCCCTTTCAGCGGATTCCCGAGTGGGAACCTTCAATAAGAGATTGTGTCCGCTATTTCTACGCTGCAGGGCCTGTTTAGATGGGATATTACCTCAGCACAGTGAGAAGAAAGACCCTCTACTGGGACACCATGGTAGCAATTCTGCCTCCTCCCCTTTACCACGTACGACACCTTGTGTGGCCCAACCGAAAGTGACGTACTGCGCCGCGACAAGAGGCTTCCACTCCCAATAGCATTGACTTTCTTCCATTTTCACACGTGGGTGCTTCCCATTAGAGTGAAAAACGAGGCAAGAGGTTCCTTCATCCCATAGTCAGTCAACTGTCACCGCTCCAGTTAACCCGAAACTCGTGACCATATCTTCATTGAGTGTGTCAATGCCGCTTTCTTCTGGGACGAGGTTCAGACCTTCTTCTGGGTGAGACTAAGTGCTTTGGGATGGGTCCCAGATTTCTCACGCGCGGCGGGGAAGGCAACACGAGGGATCTTCTCGGAGCGATAGCTGTGCTAGGACTGCACGCCCTGTGGCGAACCCGAGCAGATGTGGTGGAATGTGTGGTATTCCCCAAACCTGCATGGAGACATTCTGTCAACAAGTTGGACTGGTCCATCATTGTCTTGACAGATGATAACATGTGGAGCAACCTTAGGGACTGCCTCACCCAGGGACGCGTGGCGGCCCAAAAATTCCACACCTGCAAACGGACCCTTTTTTAGAACTCGGATTCTCCGGAACATTGAACAGTGTGATGTCTGAAGCACACCGCAATTTCACCATTACAGTGCTGTAATCGACCAGTTCAAGTATGCCCGCGGCAGCGCTGGCCCAACCTGGGGGAGGGGGAGTGGGGCAACTATGGGGGGCGCCCTCCGTGCATGCTACACATGTCAGCAGGGCGTTTACCGGGGCCGTGCCCCTGCCGTCGCGTCCCTGCATTCCCCCCCACCTTCTCTCTTTTTCAATTTTTTTTATTTTATAACGTGATCTCCTATAAACCAGTGTACCCGTCCCTTTAATCACATTCTATAGTCGCTTTTGTGATACAGGTCATAGGCACCTTCTCATTCTTCCTTTTTTTTATTTGCCACAGCTTTTCGTTCTGCAATACGGCATCTTGCGTGTATTGTGTACATACAATGAAAATAAATGTTCTGTTGGAAAAACAAAAAAAAAAACTAATTCCTCGTTAGCTTAGGTTGGTAAAGCACTGGGCTCACAATCTCAAGGTAGAGAGTTCAAATCCTGCCCGGGAACTGAAATCTTTTCATATGGTTTTCTATGGGCGTAATGATTTTTGATGCCAGTTTTTCCTTACAACCAAACATAACAGATCTCCAAGAAAATCGTCCGACAAAACACATTCTCTGTTAAAGCATAGGTAAGCAAGAAGTTGGACAGTGCCTGACAGCCTCCCATCAGTCATGAGGGCAGTTGTAACTACCTTCTTATCCGGACTATAGTCTGCACCCAGTGCATTGTCCACGGAGGCAAATTTGGGGTCAAATATCAAAGTTTTTTGCTTAGATAGCCCGCATGCCGTGCCTAGCCCAAACGTAAAAATTATCATACACAGCACACCTTGACAAATGCCTGCTGTATTTTCTCACAAAGAAGGATGTATAATACATAAATCAACATTAATATACTCCGTTATTCATAAAATCCTTCACGTCTTGTCGCAGTGAACAACCTAGAAAAAAAAAAAAAAACCTTGTATAGTCCGCACCTGTAGACAGACTGCACTGGGTAAAATTTCAACTTTTAAACATGTACAGTCTGCATACTATAGTCCAGAAAATACAGTAAGTCTGCCCTCCTCTTGCGGCTGGAAGAGTGACTGTTCATAACTTGCTCAGATAAAGTGTCGGCACCAGGACAAGAAAAAAATTCCAGGAGGACACTTAAGACTGCTTACGTAGGAATGTGAAGGCAATTTGTACACGCAGCGCGTTACTACAAGCAGCGTGCCCAGCTGTTTTCGGCAAAGGCCGGTCAGCCTCTGCAGCTGCGCGCACTCCATATTCTCCCTTTTACTGGTGCATGGGCCGCAGAGCCAGGAAGAAAGCTTCTCTGTGGGGTGGCGTCCCTTAGAACTATGACGCGTCGCAGCCAATGGCTCTTTAGGTGCGGTTTCGCTCAGCCAATGGGAAGAAGGGGAAAATGGGAATTTAGGTGCCGTTCTCGCGGTTACCGACGTCGCCCCGCTTCGCTCTATGGGACAGTTAATGCTTTCGGATTAAAAGATTAGTTTCAACTCTGATCTGAATCACTTCCATATCAGCCTCTTCTACCCTTCCCCTCTGCACAATAGTCATACTTTTTATATACTCCTATATATAAAAAAAAAAGAGAATGCACGTAAGAATAATTTGTGTTATTTTAGACTTCATGAAACACATATTGGATCAAGTTTATGGGGCTCGTGGCACTGTCAAAGACGCTAGTGCAGGCCTGCGCCCACCGAGGCACAAGTAACAAAGGGCCACGACTATCGTAAGCATGGGTTCAAATCACATGCCCGAGGACTGAGTGAGATGGACATGTTCGATAAACATGCTTTTTTTCAGCGACCCTTGTTGGTCTCCAATTTGCCAATCTTCTTTTGCAGAGATATTAGCTGGCCAAGAAATGTATAGCCGAAAAAAATTGCATCCTTCTTAGATGTCCATTATGGACATTCAAACTATTAACCCTCTGCACTCATGAGTCGAGCGTGGGCCAACATCAGAGAAACACATCCCCGATCAAATGTCGGGCGTTGTTCGACACACCCGCACTCGTTTAAACCGCTCTCATGTTCTTCCTTGCTGGTCGGTAGGGCTATCTCTCGGAAAGTTTCTCCCCATAGAAAGCAAAACCGTTTGTGAGCGGAAGACTCAAGCACACTTTGAATTTCACTGGCACAACAATGCATGGCTTTCTTTTCGCCATCAGGTTTCACGAAAACTCTCTGCGTGATTTTGTTGACAAGTGAGGACGTTCTTAGTGGTAACGACAATTATGTCCCTCCTTCCGACGAAGTGACTGCACAAGACAGAGGCCTCCACTCTGGATGCTTCGGAAAGTATCTCATATAGCAAGTTTCGCTAAAAGAACCACGGATGAAAAATAAATCTTTCGTGTTAGTTTTGTACGCAGGAGAAATCTTTTCTTTTCCGCAAACCATTTTTGCAAAGTATTTTCTGACTGGAACGACCGTGAAGTCGGTCAGGGCGTCTGACCGCAAAAGGGTTAAAAGTGCAGGGGTACCCCAAAACTAACTTCAGTCCCTTAAATGCCTCAGATATCTTAGATTCAACAACCCCCACCTTAAAGCTCCACAGATTGCCTAGGTCGAAACTTACACGAAACACTGGCACACTCAGAATTGCAATTGGAAGTACTCGCTACCAGTATGCACAATAAATTAAAATACCACAATCCACGGGTGACTGAAAGTTTGAAAGAGGCAGCGAGCCCCACCAGATTTCTTGGGGCGGGTGTGCATGAGGCCCACGGGCCTGCCCTACCGTACAACGTAATTTGTGGTACATTCTTCACAAGTATCGGTAGTTCAGTCAAACTATTTCTAAACTACTTTACACCCATCTTTGGTTGCCCCCTTGGAGCTCACCATTTTCCGAGTGTCGTACCATCACCCAAAGTGTACCTGATGCAGTCGAAGCCGCAACTCAGACGTCAGGATGGTGCCACACTTGCTACAAATGTAGGGGTACGACAGGGGATGGGACCGCATGTGGCGCAACAGGGCCTCGGGCAGAGAGAAGCGCTGGTCACACTGCTCGCAGAAGAAAGGCCGAGCTCGGTAGTGTAGCAGCAGGTGCCGGTAGAGCAGCGCTGTCCACGTGGTCCCAAAATCACACCGGTGACAAGCATGCTTGGGGAATTTGGTTGCCATGTAAACCTGGATGGATGGATTTCAAACTCGCATCTGTGAAGCCAAGGGACACAAAATTCCCATACAATTCCACTGCTTTCAATTCACGACTCAATCATTCGCCGCCCTAAACAACCCAGGAAGGGTTTCACATATAGGCTGAGAGATTCCATGGCCACATGCGCACAGTGAAGGTGAGAGCTATGCTCTATTTTTACCTTAGCTTGGAATCTAGCAAAAAGCTATATCACGAGCCTCAGAAGATGCTAATTCTGCTTTTGTAGGCTGTGTGGTAGAAGTAGGTTCCAAAGGTAAGAGCTCACACTCTTAGCATTCCCTGCGCAGTATACTGCGAGTGCAGAATGCCTGGTCTGCACCTGTCGGGAGGGTACAAGATTATCTCGTAGCTAGGGTTCTGGATTTTCAGGGTATATTTTTAGGCAAAAATGGAGAGCGTTTTTCCGAGTTAATTTTTTTTTTCTTTTTTTTAGCATTTTTGCAAGGCTTGCATCTATTGTACACGGAATTCTAAATGGGCCTTTTCCTAGAGAGCCTAGATTGAAGAGATGGTTAATCTCAAACTATGGGAAGCGTTTGCAGTTTAATGGCGGACGTCTGCTGTGGAGATTGGTTGCGAGTGCGCGTGCGCTGCATTGTCGTGTGGCGAGGAGGAAAGCAGGCGCAAAGGCAGAGACGTTTGCAGACGGTCAATGCTTTCAGCACCTCCTCGATGTTCGTATTGCTCACGCTGCCCATAAACCACGCGACCCCGGACGAGCAGTTGGCAACTCTGCAATACAGGTTCTACATTTTCCGTAAGCGTTCAGCGCTATTTGTCGGCAAATCAGGAAACCAAATCAGCAAACCGATAAAAAGCACCCCCAAGTTCCACTAACTGTGATTAAGATTGTACATAAATAACTCGTTTGCTTTGTAATGCTGACACGAAGCAAACACCCCCAGTTAAAGGGGTACGGAATAGAAACTTGACATATCCCCGAAACGTCTTTGGAACAGGCGAAATACGATACATGATATTCGTAAATGGTAATCACACAATTGTATTTTCAGCGGATGGCTATATTTTTTGTTCCGACTGACCGATTTGGGCAGGCGCTTCAAGATCAGCCATTGAGGCGGTGCGATGCGTCTCAGGATATTTGCCCACGACGTCACGCTCGCAATGTCGCGGACCCAAGACCGGCCAAGGGTACCGTAATTACCATCGTAGCCACTTGGTGGCGCCGGCTTTATCGTCGATCTGTTATAATCCCGCTAAGTGGGAATATCCGAGGTATGGTGTACTAGAACTGAGAGGTGTGCCAAGCACCGCTCACTCCTGGGTGCCTCCGTCGGACACTGGAGCGCTGTGGCACTACTACTAATGGATCCGTGATGTCAGATATTCCAACGAAGCTCGGCCCCCAACTACCAAGTGGAATTGAGAATTTGTTTTAAAATTGATTTTTTTTTGTTTGTTTTTTTCATTTACGAATGAAAGACTGGTGTTTCTGAGCTGCTGTCATAAAAGCGACCACGTCTACGCAAAGAAATAGGTGCTAAAATTTTGCTTCCATACCCATTTATGTTTACTTTGGTGCACACATGAAGCTCCATGTGAGTGATAAATCATAGGAGTGTCACTGATTTAATCCCGAAGCTCATTAGATGTGTCTTGATCATAGAGTTATTACAATGTACGCAGAGTATTACAATGTTCAAGTGGCGCTAGTGTGTTGACGCAAATTGAAGCAGACAGCAACCAGTCCAAAATTGACGTCCGGTAATGCATTCCTATGGGAAAAAGTGAGTGCATTTTCTCCCTGCGCTCGATCGTAAGAGCAAATATCCCAAATAATTCGTACGTACTAGGTAGCTTGGAACATTTCTCTGTCAGGCCGACGAAAGAATTGGTCAGTTACGGCGTTTTTCTTTCAAATTCATCGCATTAAAAACTGTGCTAAAACGGCTTCATACGTGTATTTATGTGCACTGTCGGACACTGTTAGCGCGAACACGACGTCGGCGCTTTTCATTATGAGGGATACACGTGCCAAACGAACGAAGAACATCTGGAAATTAAGGGAGACGACAAGAACTACGCAGTAACACTGGATCAGTAACTACCCGTGCATGTACGATCGATCAAAATAAATTGAAGGCAACGTAATCTGTTCCGATTTTAAATGAGTAAGTACCGCTTTATTCTTTCTCCTCTGAGCTAAGATGATATCCGTTTTACGTTCAAAATACCACCCGCACGCTCGAAATCTTTGAGCACAAGTGCCCGATAAAAGCTGCCCGGCAGAGAAAACAATACGAAGAGACACCTTTCATAGCCCACGGACTTTATTCTCTACGGTTTGAATGTTTTTATCCGCTCATACGCACGACTGGGTCATTTTCATATAGTGACAGGACTGGCATATCATCAATATATAAGCGTCACCGGAATGCTGGCGAGCCTTGAACACACTCCATATTCCTTTCGATTGTAATTTTGCTCTGAATCGTCGCTTATTTTTACACACGTGCTGCGGAACACACGTTTCGGATTGAAATGTAGCGAAGTTAAACATCGCTCACTAATGAAGAAAAATGCGCTAACTAAAGTAATTACACTTTTACAATGTTAATCAAGGTACATACTATTCGGTACGACCCAAATAACAAAAACTATACATCTTATTTTCCGTCGAGGAGACAAAATGCACGCGCGTATTCCCATAGGAATGCACAGGAGCACCGCAAAAGTAGACTGGGTGCTGTCTGCTTCAATTTGCGTCACGGAAGTCGCATAGACACCAGCGCCAGTTGAACCTCTAGCGTACATTATAATAACTCTATGGTCTTGATGAGAAGATAACATGGTAATTTTAATGTGCGAATGTTGGACATAATAAACATCTAAAAACTTTTTTTTTTTTACCCAACAATGTAATGATTGGAAAGGTTATACTAGTTACACTTCACACAACCTTCTTTTAAAAAAATTCTACGTAATTTGACAAACTCCAAGGTGGCAATGCGGCAGCAGCGCTCGAGTGCTGTGCTCACCCCTGTAAAGAGAAGGATGCGAGAAAGTAACTTTTTCGTACGATTTTCTTGACAGCCCACATTTCCCTACGAAGTCCCCAAACGCTCCCTAAATTCAAAACAATTCCCTGACAATCCAAGACCCACCCCACTTGACGTCCAAACGTACGATAGCCACCGGCATTGGGGTTGTTACTATGCTGAGGCGCAGCGACAAATATAGTTCATACGTTCGCGTTACATGACTGAAGCTATAGACTTGTTCGTACGCGAAAAAGTGACCTCTTAAATTATAAGGCTTGCGTAATTTTCTTTACCTTACAGCGTCGAGACATTTTTTCAGGCGCATGTGAAATTTCACACTAATGTTTTCTAGACGCACGGAAGCCGCATGCCAATGCAGTCACGATTTACTCAGATTCAGCTACAGTACGCTTGTTGTCATAGCCTACCAGTTCATTTTGTTGCGCCTGTTAGTCATTACGAGACCTAGAACGTTTGTAATAATTTGTAAGCAATGCATCTCTTCATTTCGTAACCATAAAAGATAAATTAAATCATGCCTTGATGAAGAAATTTGCACAAAAAAAGGTAAACCCGAAAAGAGCAAGTTTGACCCGCCTCTATCACACATGGTCAAACACTGTAAGCGAATATGGAGCACAACGTAACTCAGCAAACACATCCAGTCTCACATGACCCAATTAACACGTTACTGCAATGCACACGCAGTGAAGGGCAGCTCTGGGGATACTTACTGGTGAGGGTGCCGTAGTTTATGGCAGTACAACGAATAATTTGAAGACGAGTAAATGTAACGACGCCATTACACAGCACGCGGGTTTACCTCAGCGCCATCTATTCAGGATGCCAGTAAAATACTAAAATTAAATATACGAAAGTTAAAAAGATTTTCAATACATATAAACGAAAATATTTCAAGCATAAGTAACATCTTGAGTTATTTATCATATCTTTATATTTGTACATAGTTTAGTGGTCAGGTGACGCCACTGTACGCCACTTGTAAATGGATAGATAAAAAAGTGCAGTATACTCCTAGTTTGGACTGCATTTTGCGCCATCTAGCCTAGAAGTTTGTTCTTGCCTTTTTTATTTCTTCTCTCCCGAAACCGCGAACTGCCGCTTTCCACCCTTCACTGTGCAAGCAAAATTAATTCCAGCGCCTCACAGACATGCTCACATTTTCTTGTGTAACGTACCACTCCAGTAGCTTTAAATCATGGAGCTATGGCATCTTATCCAAACGATTTGTGCGTCCAAAAAGAAGAAAAAAAAAAAAAAAACGCTTCAGTACAAAAAAAAAAAAGAAAGAAAGAAAAAAAGAATGACACGAGGGGAATATGCGAAATGTAAGAACAAAGAAATAAGAGTTAAAGTAAATTCCACTGTCTATACACGTCGGAAAACAAGCTCCTCAAGATTTTTTTTTTTTTTTTTTTTTTTTTTTTTTTTTTTAAGTAAGGAGGAGCGGAGAATCTGGGACTTCATTAAATGTTTTGGGACATAAAATGAGCGAATACTTTCACGGTAATGAGTCCTTACCCGCGGAGTTTGAAATCGCGGAGCAGATCTCAGATCACGAAGTGGACTTGAAACCTTGAACTCACTTCCCTGGAAGTGTCGTCAGATAAAAGTTTGGAGAAAGAGTGAGTGAAAACAAGATAACTCGAGAGAGGCAAACAAGTTATCGCAAGATAGAAAGTCTTTGTTATACTGCGACACTTTTCAAAATTCAAAATACAGTGGTGCCGTATCTGAACGCGTGCCTAGTGCTCTTTTTAAGTGACAATGGTAGAAATCCTTTTATATGGTAAAGCAAACAAGAGACAGTTCTCAATAGTTGGAATATATAAGACATGTGCGTGTTCCACGAAAGTTCACAGTCAAAGTTTAGGTGTAGGTATTTTACCGAGTCAACATAGTCAACAGGCTTAGAATTATCTCATGGGCAGCTGGAGTTATGTAGAAACAGTGGAGAAGCCAAACTTACATTTTTTAATGGATTGTGAAAGCAATGAAAGCAATGAGCAATGTGAAAGCTTGGTTTTGGAAGCATTTACACGAAGCTTATTTTCTAAGAACCAGTTTATTATTGGAGCATTTTTGTTGCACGCTGGTACATTAGATGATGATGATGATAATAATAATAATAATACTTTATTTACTGAAACACACACACAAACACACACACACACACGCGCACACACGCACACACGTCAGAGAGCGTACTGGCCTACGAAAGCAGAAATGATTGTGTGTGGCTTTTACTTTATCCACATGTAGTACCAGCGAGCGTTTGACACCACTCTCTAACGTTTAGCTTTACCGCGCGAATAGCTGTTAAATTACATAAAGCTTCAGGCAACGCGTTAAATAATACAGGGATGTAGTATTTCGTATTTGAAATTATTTTTATAGTAATTACTTGTTATTGCTACATATTTATAAAATTGATGGAATGAGAGTTTTTTTTTTTTTTTTTTCAT